TCCTATGAGCTCATCCAATGTAAATCAAAGGATCCATTCTATGAACACACGTTCTCACGTCATCCAATTATATGAAGATGAGACACCAAAACTTTGGAGCAAGGCTCAACTGCTTTACAAATGATCTTCACCAGTGTGGGATCACCTTGTAGCTATTTTGTAGTGGGTCGTTTAAACCCCTGACTTGTTGGAATAAAATCCCCGAAGAGATCCAATTTTAGGACCACAAACGCTCGAGCCACATAGCCCACCATTCAATCTCGAAAGAATTGTCGCCTTCCTGTCAATGAGATCGAGAAACCAATTTCCCGACCGATTTTCAGCAATGCCATAGAATTCTGGGCCTTGGCTTACTTGGGAGCTCCGGCGGCCATCATGGGCTTGGATATAAAGTCTGCCGATTCCCGCTCCTCGGCTTGCCATACTGGCCTGTAGGGACGTCTAATCCTATTGCTCCTTCATCTCTTTCACAAATTAGTAGCGTGACTTTATTGGCTTCAGACTTGGCACGAGGCATATTGAAGAAATCAGGAAGTCATTTATATCAAACTTTATATTATCACGCGGCGCCATTCACAGAAAAGGAAAGTAGTGTGAATCATCGAATTTAAATTGATTCATAACGTCCTGAAACCTGCTTAAGAACAACGCACGAAACCTCTTCCACAGACAAAGTCCTACCAAGCAACATGCATATTTCTCTGCGCCATATTTTGGCTTCGCTGTCTGTAGCAGTCCTCACTTCTTCGGTCGTTGAAGCTCTCCCAACAAAGGTTCAGCGAGATTCCGAGTCCTCTTTGTTGGCGAAGCGTGCAACAGATAGCTTGACCCGCGCAGACTTTCAAAACTACGCCTCATCAGCTATCAATGCTCTCCAGAAAACATACTGGAACGCTCCGTCCGGACTATGGGGCTCCTATGACAACAGCGGAAAGTTCTCCCCACAGTGGTGGCCTTCCGCCAATGTCCTTACAATGATGGCGAACTACTACGAGAAATACCCAACCACAGCTACATGGATGCCTGATGTTTTTGCGACAATCTTGACGCATGCCCCAGCGTATGCGAAAGGATTTCTCAATGATTACTATGATGATGAACTTTGGTGGGTATTGGCTTGGATTCAAGTTTATGATGCGACCGGAAATGTTACCTACCTTAATACCGCGGCTGCAATTTATGAGGATCCTAAGAGTGTTTATGGCAATACTCCCTGTGGTGGCTTATGGTATGTTCTTTTCCATTCACTCTGCGTCAAATGACTACGATTTCCCCTTGCACGAATTACGCCATAATCTCTTTGCAACTTATCATGTGGCCCCTTTCACAAACAGTGTTACAAAAGTTGAACAAACATACTAACAATCAATCAGGTGGGACAAGAACCACGCCGGTGTCAACAGTGTAGAAAACGAGCTATACCTCACCGCCTCCGCCAAACTCGCTAACCGCCTCCCCGCGAAAAAGAACTCTCAAGGTCAAGGTTACTACTATTCCCAAGCTCTGATTGCTTACGACTTCCTTATCACCAACACCACTACCTCCATGAACCCTTCTACTCATCTCTTCAACGACGGCATCTCCATGACCACATGCAAAAACAACGGAAAAATCGTGTTCACTTACAATCAAGGGATCATTCTATCCGGTCTCACCGAGCTCACCTGGAGCACAAGAAGTCATTCCTACACTGCACTCGCAGTCCAAATCGCCAACTCAGTCATCGCAAACATGACGACCTCTGACGGAATCCTGCAGGAAAAAGCCTGCGAGCCCAACGCCTGTAATGGAGACGAACAGCAATTCAAAGGTGTATTTACACGCAATCTCTCATTCATGGTTAACAGAGCTACCGGCATGGATGCAGATATTCTCGCCAAGTATCGAGCTTTCCTAGCGCTCAATGCAGAGAGTATTATTCGCAAAGATACTAGTAGTGATAATATGCTCGGATTGGTGTGGAGTGGCGCCACCAAACCGGTGTATAGTGTGCAGAGTGATGGGAGCGCGTTGGATACGCTTGTTGGAGCGGCGATTACGGCTTTGAATTAAGGACGGGACGGGATGAGATGACGACTGCGATGTGGATCGAAGGGAAAGATTATGAAGATATGATAGGACGAAGTAATGATGTCCCCATTCCTCAAACGCCCTTTATTACTGGAGCAACTTCTCATCGGAAACTTGCATTGTTGCTGTGGACGCAAGCAAAGCGTGGACTTGAATTTCTTTTTTTTTTAGCGGGGGCACAACAGATACCACTTTGCATTTGTGTTATTTATTTATCTTACTTGGCGTTTGGGTCACGGGCTGGAAAATACACCATTCTGAGCATTTTAGGAGTTCTTTTGAGATGGAGTTCAATTGAACGAAGTACGATGATGATATTAATTTAGTCTGAGACTGGTTTATCATTGTATCTTCACGCTTGCATAGTTACAGACAGGGTTGAGGAAAAGTTCCTCGCTGTATAGTACATAGGTAGATAGCATTTGCACATACACACATACACACACACCTACATACATACAATATAGCATGGTTTGCATGTTCACACATTTACATTCATCATCTCAATATCCCATATATCCAGGTTCATCACATCTAGAACATTCATCCATCCCATCCATCCCACCCAAAAATCTAGACCCCAAATAATAAAAAATCCACACCCAATGAATCGGAAATCGGAAACCATCCACACGTTTGAGATAAGAAAATGCAAGAAAATGCAAGAAAATGCATGATGTTGAGATGAACCGTAAACGAAGAACCATGTAGCGATCTCTCGGTTAGCTGGTGGGGAGGGGCGGGATGCGTGAGCGGAGGGAGGTTCCCTGTTGCATGGTATGTTATGCAAAACTATGCTGTGTTTGGTATATGTGAAACAATGTATTTTTGATAGGGAATTATTGTGGTGAGTTGGTTTGTTTGGATGACCGAAAAGAATTCTTTGGGAGTGGAGTGGAGTGGAGGTTGTTGAATTGTTAAGGCGGATCGGTTACTGCTGGTTTCAATTGCTGTTTTGAAGGAGGGAGAATGGAGTGTAATGAGCTGGTCAGAAGAAAGTAACGGGCGGTGAAAGATGCATGAGAATAGGAGGCAAGGTCGAATGAAATTATTCGTTTGGGGTGAAGCAAGCTTACATGACGGTATCCCGAGATCGAGAGTACACCTCACAAAAAAACCTCGATCATGTATAAAACATGGCAATAATTTTTAAATTTGAAATGTAGCGGATGTTTGGTATCGATCAAGAACTACTCTGCAAAGGCATGATTTATTTACATCCTCAAATCGTGTTGGCTCGTATCGTTATGTGCTGAAGCTCCAACCAGTGTTTCCCCAAACCCATCAAGCGATATCAGATCATCACATCGGTGTCTTCCAGCCCTAGCACTCTAGAAAATGTATCCCGAGAACTCAAAGAAATAAATACTGGCGCTCTAGAGGCGAATCAAGCAGTCAGCCACAGAGATCATGACGAATGAAACCAAGTCAGTCAACTTTATTACTCAATGTTGTAGAATGCAGACGACATGAAATGACATACATGGGTCGTCAAGATGGTTCTATCGCACATAACGCCACCATTTCATATTTATATTTGTCCCGAGACCCCCAAAGAACACGATAATTTAGACAGTCGAAGTCTCCAATCTATTCCACTGCGTGATCAAGACAACTTTGAATTTCTTTCTACTTGGAGGCCTTTAGTGTCCCAGTGGAGCTGGCATTTGCATATACCGGCCTTGATCAACTCGAGTGGTGCCTTATTCCAATTCTTCTGGAAGAAAAAGTCGAAGGAATTATGACGCTCTGGCATGAATATACCAATTCTTTCAATTGTGGAAGTAAACTCTTTGTACAACTCGAAAGCGGAGCGATTGTAGTCTGCTGGGTTTGGTAGTGGCCATAAACTCTTACGCCTAAGCCTCCTGATTATGAGACCATACAAAGCTGACGGGCACAACTCATCGCATGAACCCCGTGGCTTGGCGTCTGACAGACCTTCTATCATGTTCCTCATATCAGTTATCAAGGTAGGAACGAGCGCCCCGCGGATGTCAAGGATCATTTCTATAAAAAAAAAGTCTGCACAAAGGAATCTGTCTCTGAGAAAGACTTACTGGCAACGCTAGGAGGCAAGTTAGACCTTTGCAAATTCAAGATATGGTGAACAACTTTGTAACTGTTACCGTTAAAGTCGAATGACCCAACAGCAAGCATGCACTCTCCATCATCTCCAACAATTGCCTACAATACCAAGACGTTCATCAATTGGTAGAAGATATCTTTCCTCCCAAAGTAATAAGCAATCCATAACCATCCTTCTTGGTGCGGTAAGTAAGCCTCTGTGCACTCATATTTCAACCAACTCTGAATCCATGATTTTACCAAACTTCTACAATCGTACTGATTGCAAAGGATGGCAATCTGGTACAAAACTTTATATGATAATTGTGAGGAAACCTTCGAAAATTTCAGATGCGCAATCTGCAGAAGCATTAACAAGGCTTCCGGGTTATCTTCTGTAGAATCCAACCCGATGTCAGGAAATGGCTCTTCAAGAACCGCGCAAGCTTTCTTCGAATTTGGTCCTTCTTGATTTCTAAGTGAGGATAGAAGAGGGAATGGAGGAAACACAAACTTCTTCCAAACTGGGCTGGCGAAGCAAAGCGCATGGGAGGATAATTTGAAAGTGATTATTCGACCACCATAGTTGGCTTTGGCTCGTACATTACCGTCTTCGAAAACACAAGGATGCTCCTGGTTTTCCATTTCTTTGCACTTGAAACTACAGTGGTGTTGTTGTCGCAGTCGCAGTTGCAGCCGTGGTTATTGTTGCATCAATGAGCACTTGAGGTTTCCGAGCTTCTGAGTAAGTCTGAAAAGCTTAGTGCGCATTGTCCAGCTCAGATAAAGTATACCCGGCCATTGAAATAAGACACCTGGAATTCACTGTTTGGGTTTACTGAAAGCGAACTTATACTTTCTTATTATGTATTTCTTCGCTGGCTCAACCATTTTCCCCATTCAGTACCAAACTCTCCATCACTACTCCCAGTTTTGTTTCCCTGATCAAACCGTACTGAATGTGAATGATCACCACCTCCTCTCATTTTTGTCATCATCTCAAGGTCCCCAAGTGGTACCATGCTCACTCGCCCATGTGCACACATGAAAGGAAACTTGCAATTTGACAATCTTCTAACCAACTCCCTGCACTCATCAACACCAAGTTCATCATTAAACATAATTGCAGTCCTACAAGCTCTGCTACTCAACAGCTCCAAGATACTTTTTGGGATGTGGGCGATCCTCTCGATCCAAGTGGATTCTGAGGTGATGGGAGGATGTGACGTTGGATTACCATGATACGAGTAAAGCTCTGTACGGAGAATATGAAGGAGTAGGTTTGGATTTGCGATAAGTCTTGCCGTTATCAAAGGTGGAAGATATTGGACGGTGATAATGGCAGCCATCGACGAAACGGAATAAATGATCCCCCAATAGGAGAAATGATTCATGTAGGTACGAAAAAGTTGAGAATCTTTTGTTGAGATATCAAAGCTGATGGGCTTCTCAAGAGGAGTAGTGAATACTGATGCTGAGGCTGGAATATTTGAGACTGTGGGGTATGTAAGAAAATCAGACAAAAGATTTTCTATTCGAATTCGTTCGTCCGCTGCGTGCTGATCGATAATCACAAGAAGAGAACTCGAATCTTCTCCAGCCACAGATCTTCTTCGAACGTTGGCTAGAATAAACTTTTTATCTACTTGTGAGATGATCTCTACATTTTTCAAAGCATCTTTTGAGATGCGCCCATGAAGTCCTGACGAAGTTTCTTTGAATGCCTTCTCGACTTCAACTTGTGAACAGTGTTGATGACGGCCATGTATAATTTCTTGCGTCTCCAGATCCAAGCCATCAATTGAAATTTGAGGTATTGAGGGTTCAACAGGAGCAAAAACTGGATTTTCCCACCTATTCAGAATGTCATCGATCCATGGAATTGGCTGTCTATCGCTTGCGAGAGACTTTTTGGTCGCAGTCAAACGAGAAGATGAATTGGAAATAAGTTGTTTCCCGTCCTTTCTGTCCTCTTTCTTTTCAGATACTACAAGGCCCGTTCGCCTATTTACTAGAGATTTGACCTTGTTTGAAGGATTGACCCATACAACCAATTCATCTCTACTCGCATCTGATTCTTGCGCGTTATTAGTGAATGACGTTGCTTTGGAGACTGGAGTTTGACTTTCTTCGAAAGGACATCGAGTCAATTGTCCTGATTTGGAAACCAAAGGTGTTGCTGCTCGCACCTCCACTTCCGAGCTAACTTGTGCCGGTGTACTAAAGCTTTCTGGCGTATCTGTAAACTTTCTATGTGGTTGTTCAATCCCTTTTTTTATTTTTGACCAAGACTCAAAAGGGGAATCAAACGCGAAACGCGACTGACGAAAAGAAGGAAGCTTTACTTTCGTTCCCAGCGTGTCTATTCTTGCTCTTTTTTGGCTTTGGATCTCGTCGCCATTATTGTAATGCTCAGACGTAGTTGAGATGGTGTTCGTATCTTGACAAGATTGGTTGGTCTTGGTTGGTCCACTTTGCTCCAGAATTTCCGAATTTGTCAATGAAGTGGCTAATTCTAATCTCTTAATGCGATTCTCGGGTGCAAGTTTCGGCCGAAAATGATTCATGGTCAAGAATTCTAGGATAATCGCCTGTAAAAATTCCAGAATCTTATCGAGAGTATTTCGCTTCTCGTCTAACACTTCGTCAAGATTCAATCTCGCATGCTTTGGTTGATCGACTTTGTGAACATTGATGTAAAACATTGGCCATCGATCAACACTCTTCCTCCCACCTTTGAGCTCTTTGTCGGTGTATCCATCACCCTTATACCTTCGGTCCTTGGATCTCCTTTTCAGTTCAACTTCATCAAGCTCATATGCCTCTTCTTGATTTCCGAACGAAGAATTAAGGAACCACCGATTAATTTCTTCGTAAAGGAAATTGCAGTTGTCTTGAGAAATCAAAGGTTCTATTCCAAATGCTAGAAACTGGATGTGTTTGGTCGCATTTGGGATCAAAGAAATCGCGCCATTTACAATCAAGTTTGACGTAGAACCACTTACAGGTATCCAGGACGACTTTTCATCAATTGCGATATATGAGGCTTTGGAGAGTATACTGCAAGTATTAAACAGATCAACACTACCAACTGGGCGCCATTCAGATGTTGCAAGAGACCTTCGGATGATAAATTTCTGGTCTGTACCATTTTCCTTTATAGACAATGAGATATTTTTTGGCCATGCGAGCAACAGCGAGACAATGTCTCTACGTAGACCATCCCACATCCGAGCAATAACCTGCCGGTTTCCAGAGGCAATCGCTCTCTGCTTTACGCGGACTGGCATACTGCCGAACAGATTTCGGACAGTAACACGTGTACCATGTTCAAAAGAAGCAAGATGATGTTGATCGGGGGCTGGGGTTTGACGTGACACAATTACGGATCTATGCATATTTATTGAATTGTGCGAGTGATGCAGATGGTGATGCGAAGTAATTGAGAGTAAGGATAAAGCAGATAATGAGGCAATGAACGTTCCGTAGCCCCCATGAGTTGGATTCGACGTGTTCAGCTTCGAAGAATCTGCCATAGGTGAGTTATATTTCTGGATGCATTAGAAGATATGTGATGACATACGGTAGAGCTTTCCCAAGCCTCCATTCTCCCCGAATTCTGATGGCGATATACCAAGTCCATTGTCCTCTACTGTACAACTTCCACGACTATAATCTACATCAATATCGATCCTGGAGCAACAAGCATCCAAACAATTCTTAACAAGCTCAAAGATGACACCATTAAGGCTGGTAATGGTTGAAGAGGATTTTATTTGTGCTATTACATCTGAAGGCAATGGTCGTATAGACATAATGAAAGCAATGAGCAGGCCATTTAATGTGGGTATGGACAGATAAACAGATCAGATACCACACACGATTCATGTGGTTGAGACCATATTGCTCTATAGGAAAGAGTAGAATGAGCAAGAGCCATCTAGCAAAATCATGTGAATGATTAGTACAGTGAGGTTAAATTCATCGTAGGGAAAAAAAGTCATCCACGTTGAAAACCTTACATATATGGGGGTATCGCAACCACAGTTGTTCAGATATATACCAGTGAAGTATAAATGAAAAGCTTTCAACTTTCGATGTTGAAGCATCAGAACTATTCGAGTACGATAGATGACAAATCAATGTTAAGCAGTCTGATTGCGCATCACATGATCAAGTCCTCATCTGAGACTAAGCCTGAGCTAGACTAGCTTGCACGCAGTAGTGATTATGACGGTCGGAGGTTTAGATGTGAATCATCCGAAGGGTAAGCTGCAGCTTATGTAATAGATCGTTGCAACGATTGATTGGCTGAATTGACTGATCGATCAAATCAAGCACCAAACAAGCACCAAGGGTATTTGGCACTAGAGAAGAGAGACCTTGGTTAGAGTGATGGTCATTAGAATGAACCAGCGAATTTCCATTCACATCAATTCATCATCGTCGTCTGAACCTCTTCTTTTCTTCTTATCATTGTGCCAAAGATAAAGATATCAAATTACATCTGAATTCCCATTTTTCTTATTCAAGAGAGAATTTTGGTGTCTTATTACTTTTACCTCTTCTTTCTTCTTTCTTCCTTATCTGCCTAGAGAAAAACGGCAAGGCAAAGCGAAGCAAAGCAAAGCAAAGGGAAATACCGAGATAACACATCAAACCACGACAAACCGGCCATTTGGAATCTGCAATCAAATATCTCCCGTCCATTCTTCAATTCCCAATCTTCATATCCTTTCTACGCTTTCTGTATCTTCTCCGTATAACGCCGCCCCGAGCCAAGCTAGACACTTAGGTTTCGCACAATGGCGGCCACGGAGTTAGCACAGCAACAACAATCTCCTCCAAACTCACAACAACATGGTATGAGCCACATTACAGTTCTGTTTTCGCTCCCAACCTCATAATCCATTCATCAAAATCATACTTTTAGTTGATCGTGCATTAACATATCCTCTCACTTTTGCCGGACTCTTATTTTTCAAACCATCATCAACTAACTGATATGCCAGACCGTTCCGAACAAGTAGGAGGACGTCGCAGACCATTTACAACATGGATGAAAAAGTTCACTAATTTCAAAAGCGGCTCTTCAACTGCAAATTCCAATCAAGCCACTAATGCGAAACGTAATGGTCAACAAACAAAAGCGAGCTTAAAGAAACAATCTTCTTCGAAGAATAACAACCCGTATCCAGAATCCGGTCGCATAAATGGCACTGCGGCAGCGCCTGCCTCTCGCGATCGACATTTGTCATTTTCAACCGTACCAACCGGTAACTCGGTCAGCACGTCATCGTTGGAAAGAAGTCGAAGATCAACTCAATATTCTGAGGATGGACATCCACCGCCAACAATTGGAAACAAATCAGTAGCTCCCACAACGGGCGAGGAACACGATGTTGCACGATCAGACATTGCAGCATCTCACGCGCCATCTTCGGGCGAAGCTACAAATGCTACAATTGGATGCGGGGTTAGCACTGGTAGAGGTGCTGATAGTACATTTTCTTCTCCGGCACCATCTGTCAGATCTTTGACTACAACTCTTACAACAATTCATTCTGCTGGAGTTCCCGGCACTACTGTTTCGCACAATCATGCCTCGAATAACACACAGGGTATTCAATTCACACATCAATTTCCTACCTCGCCACCAGCCACAGCCTTACCCGCACATTTGGCCCCACAAGGTAGTGGAGGCCACCCTGCAACATATAATACAGCTACAGCAAACAATCTCCTCACAGATAACGCATCTATTTTGACTTTGGCTTCATCTTCTAAACGCAGACGCAGGCGATCTATGGATACTGATGCATCTGTTCGTGCTTTGGCGCCATCTTCGGTATTTGGTGGCAGTCGCGAAAGTCTACCATTGAGTGTTCTGAGTGCTACAATTGACGGTTCTACAATCACATCTCCAACTGGTCTATATCAACCACGCCCTATCGCAAATGAGAGAGCTAGCATTTACTCTTCGACAGGCGTGGCTCCAGCTTTACCAAGTGAGAGGAATAGTTATTACGCCAACAAACAATCCTTGGCAAATGATGGTGGAAGTGTGAAAAGTGGGTTACTAGGTCATGGCAGGACAGACAGCATCTCTGGAAGTATTGGTGGCATGGCTGCTCCAGGAAGTCCACTAGCTAGTCCACGCGATCCTACAGGCTCTACCGGCAGATTAAGTCGAAGTAATTCGGGCTGGGGAGAAAATGGTGAACTTGTGGTCACAGATACTGCGCACACTCTAGACGGAGAAGATACAAAAGACAAAATTGTTAAAGAGGAATTGGAAGAAGAGAACGAAAAGTAATTTTCCATAAGCCTGGGTACTTGAGCGTAGGGAATATGAGGATGAGCGATGTTTCAAAATATGAAAGTGGATTTTAAGGTCGGATAGAAATGCGGAGAATGGACATCGAGGAAGATGTGGGTTGGTGTTTCGGTTCTGTGATTTACGGTTTATGCACCAAAGATACCCGATAATTTTCCATCGAACTTCTAGGTTCTTAATTCTCAAATGTTACTGTTTATTGGTCTCGAGAATTTTCATGGGGATGAGCGTGTAATCATCAGATGGTTCTGAAACATGAAATATTGTCTGAAGTATTCCATCTCAAGTTATCTTGCGTGGTATCGTTCGTGATCCATTACAGCTGGTAAGATCAGATCTTTTCGTTGAATTATCAAGACGTATCTGCGAACTCGAGTTCAGTAAAAATGGAACATGAATTCTACCGTCCAAAGTGTTTTAGATGTGTTGAGAGCTAGTCCGCACTAGACAGATTCTCTTAGCATATCGAATAAATGAACGAAAAGCATTTTTCGAATACTAATATTTGATGAGTACATTTCGCTCTCATATCTTCATGGCAAGAGATCAACAAATGTGTCTGAATAAGAAAGGAATCCTCATCTTATTCTCTTCGAGTCTTTTAAGTCAGAATACCAAGCGATTGCTTAATCATACTCAAACATATTCACGTGATTTACCGACTAAAATGCCTTCACGAACCAAGAGCACTGAACAAGTGTTTTCGACTCTGGTACCAAGGATCGTACCAAAGACACTTATAGATTACAAATACTCTCTGTTGGAATCATCTTTATGTGAAGTTTACACCTGATTAATCCATGCTCAATATGTTTGGCATCCATAACTGCTTGACCTCGGCTTCGGTTCTGCCTGGTTGCTCAAGGTTCCCGTCGGTCATCGATATGAAAGAGGTTGGATGCCAAGAAATTTGAATATACATGTTGCGCGTTTGTCTACGCGTACACTAACTGTGCGTTGCAGAGACGTAAATAGCCTATTTTGGCTCAAGCATAACTTCTTTCGCTCGAAACAGAAGTGCCGAGACCAGAAGGAAAATGTCCGAAACCTCCGAACTATCTGGGAACATATTTTGGACGATACGCATACCATTACCATATATTTGCGTAAGAACACTTGGTTATAAGAAGAAAGAGACAAAGGACTTGTTCGATTGTCATGAAATATATCTGATTATTGGATCGCCGACCAACTTGAGGAAAACAGGCATTTTGATATGTGATTGTATTAGAGCCTTCTTTGCAAGTTCAACGTATGGTCTGGAATTCAATGCACGGAAGGTCTAGGACGACTGGCATTTTTCTGCAACCCGCTTTTACTGGATGAACCAGGTGGTTCGGCCCCATACCGCATCTCAACGTCATCCCGGACTCTGAGAATATATGGAGCATTGAGGTGGCGGTAGCCAAATGCCGAAGCTTGAAACGCATCTTCAACGACATTGACAATCTATGAGCCCCTTATTAATATCTTTTACCATGCGTAAAGGCTTAGCCACTGCCTCGTGCGCAGATCCAAAGCTTGATTTAGCAAGAGTCAATAGCACAATACCCTTTATTCGGGACCGAACAATATATGGTGTAAGCAATGGTGAGTAGGTAGCTTCAGTCAGAATTTCTTCGAAGTGAACATATAAAGGAACATGTTTCACTCTAATCGAAAGTTTCTTCCTCACCCACTCCTCTCCAATTTACGTTCTTTTCACAATGAAGCAGTTTACTTCTCAAGTCCTTGGGGCTGCCGCTCTCGCTCATGGCGCCTCAGCACAACTTTACAACCAAGTAATTCAAACCAACTATGGACCTGTTCAAGGTATTCCTGCCTTTAACTCTTCCCCAAATGGCAACATTTCGAACTGGGAGGACATCACCGTATGGAAAGGTATCCCATACGGTGCCGATACCTCTGGTGAGAATCGATGGACAGTTCCAAAGAACGCAACCCCTTGGAATACCACATTTCAAGCCAATAAGATGGGCCCTATTTGCGGACCTGGTAATCCAGCTACAACCGGTGGTACTGTTAGCGAAGACTGCTTGAACCTCAACATTTGGAGCAACGGTAACTCTACCAATGCCAAGCTCCCAGTTGTCTTTTGGTCTTTCCCAGCAGGTGGTGCTGCCGATCAACCTTTGTTTGACGGTGCCGGAATGGCATCTCAAGGCATCGTATTCGTCAATTACAACTACCGTGTCAGTGCTCTTGGTTGGCTCTCAACCCCCGAGCTTTCGGCAGAAATGTACAAAGCTACTGGATCTAATAGTTCCGGAAATTGGGGTCAGCTTGATCAAATCCACGCTTTGAAATGGGTACATGCCAACATCGCTGCATTCGGTGGTGACCCGGATCATATCACCGTCATGGGTCAATCCGCTGGGTCAGCTGCTGTCTACCACTTTGTTAACGGTCCATTGTCAAAGGGACTCATTGTCGGAGCCATCGCCGAGTCAGGAACCCGTGATCCATACGATCCTGAGGCCCTTACTCTTGCTGAGAATTATCGCAACCAATCTTATGCTCTTGAATCTGGCTTAGCGTACATGGCATCCAAGAACGTTAGCACCATTGCCGAGATGCGAGCTCTCCCTCTCGCCGATCTCGAAGAACCTCTCTTCGGATCTACTTTCTCCAGTAACTTCGGTAACGTTCTTGATGGCTATGCTCTCCCCGCCAAGTACGTTGAAACACTTGCCACTGGCCCAGCAAACGATGTTCCCTACATCACTGGAAATACAAAAGATGAGTCCGGAGCAGCTACAAGCACCAATCTCACAGTCGCTGAATACGAAGCTGAAATCGAAGCGCAATACGATGCTTACAACCTTTCATCCACATTCTTGGAGCTTTACCCGGCTTCAAACACCACTCAAGCAAGTATGGCGTATAACGCTCATTGGCGCGATACTTCCCGTGTCTCCAGTTGGTCGTTCGCCAATCGCTGGTCTGTTAAATCTAAGTCGCCTATCTGGACTTACTACTGGGATCATGCTCCTCCAGGACAATCTCAAGGCGCTTATCACGAGTCTGAAATCAACTATGTTCTTAACAATCTCTACGGAACTGATAAGCCATGGGAAGCTGTTGATTATGAGATTGCTCTCAAGATGAACGGATACTGGGCAAACTTTGCTAAGACTTTGAACCCCAACAACGGAGGCTCTTACAAAGGAAACGGAACCTTACCACAATGGAATGCCAATTCGGACACAGACATGGTGACTATGGAAGTTGGTGATGGATTTGGAGAGGTTCCTATCGGTAGTGCAGACCAAATTGCTGCTATTACCAAGTACTTTTCTTACCAGAACCCCGTTTAGATGATATTTGATTATCATGGGTAATCTAAATGGGTCTTTACTCAACATTCTCTGTACATGTATTCATTAAAAAAGCAAAGGAGTCAGCGAATGAGCGATTCGTTCTTGTGTATATATAGCATTCAATTCAAGTCAACGCGAGATACAATTGTACTCTTGTATTTTAATTATTGTCCTCCATTACTATATTGATTCTTGAAGTCTCACTCTTTCACACTTGCTACCCACGAGACACCTTCCACTCATAATTTTATTTCACCATCTAATTTATTGCATCCCAGCAAACATTTGCAGTTAATTTCAGGATCAAATTTTTCACCGCACATTACGGTGAAAAAGTTAATATCTTGCGAGGGTAAATCTCAAATCCCATCATTCCAGCTGCGGAATTCATTCTTCCCTCACAACACCTCACACATTCCTCACATTTATCACTATCGAATATTCTCTCCCCTTTTATTCTCATTTTTCTCGTCCTCACCAAAATGATTATTTAAAATATCCCCTTCCATGATTACCACTCTAAAGACGATCAACTCCCATGGACCCTAAATCCACCAAGAATGATATCTCTCCACTACCACCGCATCCTCCTATTCTTTTTTCTACTCTTACTTTCCCTCATCGTTCTCCTACATCTCACGTATCCCTCTTCATTAAATTTCAACCTCAATCTAAATCCCCTGTCCACTACCAACTCCAATTCCTCCTCTCGAAAACATACATATATCACCAAAGAAGGAAAATCCATCAATCAACAAAACGTAATCCAGCTACGAGCAAAAATCAAAGAGGGGAAATATCCAGCGCTGAGGAAGTTACTAGAAGATGGTGTTTTGGGAGTGGGCGAGAAAACCGGTGAGAAGTCTGGCAAGGGAGGGGGAGGAGAAAAAATTATCCATCAGGTGTGGCATAATTGGAAAGGGGGGTTTGGACGGAGAGTTGAGAGACGTGGTGATGAGAATGTGGATGGACGGGTAGGAGAAGGAAGGTATGATATGAGGAAGGGAAAGATAAGTATAGCAGAAGATAAAGAGGGATGGGAAATTAGTGGAGGCGATGGAGAGATTCCTCATGGATGGGAAGAGAGGAGACGTAGTTGTAGGGGAGTTAATGAACAGAGTGGGTGGAAATATGTTGTGCGCATCCATCTCTTCTCTTTTCTTGTTTCAGCTTTATCCTTTTCTTCCCACAATTAGCAGAGAAAAAAACTGATCACCTAATCACAGCTTTGGACCTCTCAAAAATCCCTCGCCTTCATAAAAACTTACTACTCATCTTTTCTTAAAACATATATATCCTATCCCTCGAATTTCCAACGTGTCGAAGCGATGAAATTTCTTCTACTTCATAGATATGGAGGGATTGTATTGGATGTGGATACGATTTGTCTGCGAGCTCTGGATCCGTTTTTAATGCTGGGGCTGTTTGTTGTTAGTGAACCTTTAGTTGTATCTGAAGATGATGGTGAGGATGGGGACGAGGATGGGGATGAGAAAAGGAAGGGAACACTTTCAACCCGTATTATAGGGGCTCCAAGAAACCATGGATTTGTAGTGGAGTTGATAGATGTGTTGATGGGGTATAATGCGCCTAGAGTAGATGGAGATGGCGAACGGGAGAGGAATAAAGCAAAAGGAGTGCTCAGTTTGACGGGGAAACTGAGAAAGGGAGAGAAGTTGATGATGGGTCGGAGGGAGGTTTTTGGAGAGGTGTGGGATGCGTATCATAGGCGGATTGGAGAGGGAGTGTTGGGTGTAGGTGTTACTAATACGTCTGGAAGTATGGGTGATAAGAGTGAAAGAGAAGATCGAGAAGAATTAGGATTGGTGGATAGTGTGGGATGGAGAGTTAGTGTGTTGCGTACGGGAGAGGGTGCTGGGAGGGGATTTTTCGGTGAGTTGTTGAATTCTGTAAATCTATCTTCCTATGTGGTGAACAGGTGTATCCCTACAACCTAGAGGAGAGTAGTGTTATTTGAGTCATCGACTCTCAAATGTTCAATACAACCTTTAAGTGCGAGTTGAATTAAAATAGGCCAAGAAGACTAACACTCCCCAGGTCCGCACCCACTCAACTCCAAACCCACTTCCCTGCCCAACTCCAAACCCCAATCCAAAACCTCCCATCTTCTCCTCCCGGTTCTAATCCTCATCACTCTTTCCCTCCTCATAACCCTGATTTTCTACTCTCACCACCGCTCTCACACACGAAAACAGCCGCTCATTCGACGCGCGTCGAGTAAGTATGAGAGAGGAAGAAGAAGGGAGAGAGTGCTTAGAGGTGCGGGTTTGGGTGGGGGAAATGGCGGGAGTTTGTTTCATGGGTATGGAGGAGGTGTGTATGGGGAAGAGGTTATGGAGGGGATGGAGAAAGAGGGGAGGGGTTTGATGATTGGGGGAGTGGGGGTGTGAGGGCTGCTGATTAGGTTCTTGTGGTGGTTTAGCGGAGACGTGGTATTATAGAGATTACAATGCGTGTGATTAAGAAATGGCGTTTCAAGCAAATGGAGATCGATGACTGATTAAGCCCTCGTCCTATTTGATGAGATGAATCATAAGAGAAGGAAGTCCTTTACTTATTGAAACGGACCTTCTTTTCATTGGCAGTGTATGACAATAATGTTCAGAAAATGAGCAACACCCATACATCCACGCAATTCGATCATTGACATGCTTTTAAAAGCATTCGATAGAAGCATAGAATATTCTCTTGTAAGGATTGCTTGATTGCCAAGGTTCAATCAAATGAGATCGCGGTTGATGATGCGTGGGAAATTTGATGGCACGGAGAAAGATAGATTGAACGGGAGAATATTTTGGTATTTGTTTTGGATACTTGGCTTGAGAAACGTGTGACTCGTTTTTGAGTTCAACTAAAGCAAACAGTCTGCGTGACTTTGCGAGAACACTGACAGGAATGCTAATTTCTTGATATTCTGATTTGAGGTCTAAAAATTGATGATGGTGTCATTTTTGATGCTGCCGCTCCTTGGCTCGTTTTATGGTTCGAAAACTCTTTGTCTCTACGTAATTTGCCTTTTTTGTTTGCAGCGACGGCAAGATGTGTTCCTCTAGCATTATCCTTAAGCATTTGAACCTTGAAATGTCCATAGCATATTAGTCATCGAAAACTGTGATTCAATATCTTCTAATCCAGGTATATCCGCAAGGAGTGATTCTAGCCACGAATCACCATACCCAGTATCCTGCAGCGCTTGACTACTACTTCTATCCATTGTAGGGTCAACAGGTGGTAGTGGATCGGCCTTCATGACTTCACTAAGCATCTTCGCATCATCCTCTTTCCTTCTTTGAGAAAGGAAAACTAGTAATCGAGCAGTTTTATATGCTTCTCTCATGACACTCGTATCATATGCAGTTGATACTTCTCCAAGAGTCTTCATTGCATCTCCTAGTCTCGATAATGCGCTTCGATTGTCAATAGCGAGGAGTGTGCAGATTATTTGGAAGGGTACGTTAGCCATATGGTGCCAGGGACAATTTGTTCGGACCATTTCCCTAGCACAGCGTAAACCTTTACTCATTAGTGTCAGAGCTCGGTCTAAAGTTTCCGGAGAGACGGTGAGATTTAAAGCGCGAAGACGCCGGTAGATGCAAAGCATGAGATTACATTGAGCCATTACTGATGGGGGCTGTATGTGACTGCTATCCAAGACTTGCACGAATGCAGACTCGAGATTCGATGCATTTTGTAGGTTACTTGGATCTAAAGCTTCGGACATGGGCAATAAGCTAAGAAGCTCTTTCGTTGAATCTTGGTGATTCAGGTATGGGAGGACTGAAGGCACTCCTCCTTGAAGCACAACCCTAGACCGACCAAGATCGAAAGAGATCCAAGTATTTAGATGTTGTGCCACACCTAATAGTCTCCATCGTAACTCTGAACTGCCGTCTACTACTGGTTGTATTGAAGGATCATTTGTGGTAGCCGGGATGTGAAGACCTGCTGCCTCAACCATGTGCATCAACGTACAACTAGACATCCATGCGACATGAGGCGATGCTGTCATGCGCAGATACACAACTCTAAGAAGTTGTCCTGTGATTGTTTCTGTTGTTGGTGTTTCTCCGGAATACTCATCTAGAATTGACCGCGCAGATTCAACAAGCTGCAGTTCTAAGGCAGGTGCAACCCGATTAGAAAACAGACTTCCAAGAGCGGTCACCCCAAACAAGACTGCATCAAATGGCTTTCTCTCGTTCTTGACAAGTTGTCGAACCTTCCATCTTTGAAAGAATTTTGCCCGATCAATGAAATTATAACAAATGTCCACCTTTTCAAAATAGAACGCAGACAGTTCATCCACGATGCCTGCGCTCGATATATCTTCTGTTGATAATGTCGAAACCCGCTTAGATCTGGTGTTACTATACCTCTCTCCAATATTCCACGAAAACAAATTTAATCTCGGTGCATTCTGAGGATCGATTTTCAACGCCAATTGCCTGGCAAAGGTTGCACCGGAATTCGCTTCTAATGATGGAGGAGGTAAGGATTCCAATTTTGTGGGAGCTGACAATAATGGTTGTTCATGGCTGTGTCTAGCTTTTTTGCTGTGTCCGGAATAATTTTTGTATTGACACTCATATTCGAATCGAAGACAAGAATCACATGGTTGAGCGCCGTCGCATCTTCTTTTGCGGTCACGACAAGGTTCGCAGGCTATTCGAGAGCGTTTGCGCTTCAATGGTGAGTCCGTCATAGCAGCGAGAAAATTCTCTTAACAGAAAGAACAAATAGCTGAGATAGAATAACAAAAAAATTCCTTACCTTCTTGACCGATCACATTTCATCGGGCCCATTTCATTCTCTGACATGGCAGAGCTATGGTGGAGACGCTTTGCTGCATGTGCATTACGTAATTTAGATGCAGCCGATGGTTAATCCTCGGCATTCACCGAAGCTCCGTACGTCACTTGTTCGAAAAATCTCACAAATAAGCAACTATTCAGGTCGATCGACCTTCTAGATGATCTTATTCTCTATATTTCTTGCCTGTTAGAGACCTATCTGTTTTTCTGGAACTGGTCTCAGTAATTAGATATGCTTTATTCCATTCATCTACCATAGGAGACCTAGACCTTAACCCAACTCCATCCAGACTTCGATACCCTCGAAGCTACAAGACACAATCCACTAAGCGCAATCGATGTTCCCGCAAAGATCTGCGCATAAAGATAATTTCCTCCTCCAGCCTGAATCAACGCACCAGAAATTGGTGGTCCAGTCAAACACGCAAAGCTAACAACGCTCAAAATCATACCCAACCTCACTCCCGTTTTCTTCGGATCCGTCGCCAAGATTGTAGCAGTGGCCGGAAGAAGCGCCTGCAAGGCAGCTGCAACAAATCCATATATGATAGCAAATGGATACATTCCACTTATTGAATCAACAGCCGCCCAGCAATAAACCAAAATGCATGCTGCGAAACTGAATGGAATGAGGATGTTGAAGGGTCCAGTGATCCGATCTCCGATGAGGTTTGGGATAATGCGTCCGATGATTCCAATCCCATTCAAAATCATTAGAAGGTTAACGGAAGTTTCAGTCGTAGCGCCCAAGCGGTCGCGAGCGAATGTGCCCAGATAGAAGAAAGCGAAATACAGCCCCCAGTAATTGAAGAACATACCCATGGTAAAGAAAGTATATGCAGGTTCTTTGAATGCCGCCCATTCCACCAAAGCACCCGCCTTATAAGGAGGTAATCTTGGCTTAAAAAGGAAAATTGAAGGAACATGAGCTGCCAACATAATAAACCCTACGATCCTCAACGTCCACGCGAATCCGACTTTTCCGAGTAATACATGTACAGCAGCCGGATACACTAAACCTCCACTTGCTCCCCCCGCCGCTGCAATCCCCACAGCTAACGCCCTGTTATTCTTGAAATACGTGGACAAGACGGACAGAGCTGGACAAAACGACAAACCGTTGCCTAAACCAACACAGACCGCATGAGCAAGAAATACCTGCCAATAGGTCTTGCAGAAAGATGTCATAAAGACACCCAGCAATTGCAGGAAGACACCGATTCTGAAGATGAGATTGAAATGACCAGCATCCGACGCTCGACCCCCTATAACTCCGACAAACAACAGGAGAAATACTTGAACACTGCCGATCCAAGCAATGGAAGAAGAACTTTGGGCCAGGCTGACGGTATAGTATTCTTGAAAAATTCCATAACTGTTTGCGAAACCCCAACTATTGAAGAAGACGAGGTGCGTGAGGAAAACGTGCAGCCAAGCTGTGAATCCACCATCCGGAGGAGGCCCGGGATTTGTCAAAGTGGGAGTCGGGGTTTGGGAATTCGATTCATTATCGGTACTGGTGTTTGAGAATTGAGCATCCTGCGTTTGCTTTTCGTGGTCATCCATAGTCATATCACCAGACGTATAACTGCGGGTAGCAAAAACAAGCTCGTTAACAATGATATTTTGCAATATAAGTTTCTGCACCACGACCAGTCCTGGGAAAATCTTTATATACTCTAGCGATTGACTCAGAATCCAACTCTTTCTTAATACTGAAACCTCATTACTAAAAACATGAACAATTCCAGCGATTATTGCCAATCTTCTTCAACAAACAGTGCGTACATCTTTGATTCGGGTGATGCGCGCCCGGATATTGCGGGGAGTTAGGGGAGCGAAATAAATGATTGTTTCGCGAAAGGAATCATCTCTGTAGGTGTGGAAGTGTGGGATTGTTAATTCTATAAATCTGAATATATATTTATTTGGCCCACTCTCCTTCTTTTATTTATTCCTAATACGCCTAATACATACCCCTATACAGAAGCTCAATCGAACAAAGTAGTTAAAGAAAACAATTCCCAATGATAGTATGCTCCACTTGTCTTGAACTCTTATACAATTATATATCTATTACAAGATTCTAATACCTATTACAGTAAGACTTTGAAAACCCTATTGTAGTAGATCCTTAAACTTCATTAGCTTGTTTGAATGGAGATCGACTACACTGAAACTTATTGCTTCAATGTGAGAACTTACCGTGTCTTAGATAAGGACTGGAAAATCTGCCTCCACAAAAATTTAAACCTACAAGAAAAAAGCTATTAAATCATATGTATCGTAGGTCGCGATCATTACAGACAGAAAACTACGGTATTTCTTGAAAATTTACATTTGAGCAAGGAGAATATTGGGACAATTGGCTACAAGAATATATTTGTTGGTATCATAAATATTAGTGGAGTTTAAAATCCCGAAAATCCTCTATATACACTTTCCAATATCCATACATCATTCATTATGACTATTACTCATCATTGAGCTTCTCCGGTCCCAAAAACCTCCAACTTAACCCTATCTTCGCTCACTCCAAATGTCTGCAAAGTCTTACTCATATCGTTCATGAATCCCCCCGGACCACAAATAAAATACACTGTCGAGACATTATCCAAATGCAACGCATCATCCTTAACTTTCGATAGATCCATTCGTCCCACTAGATCCTTAACCGGATGTCCATAATCATCGGCTGGTAGATTCTTGACAAAAACCCAAGATTTGATATTCGACTGCGATGTAGCGATTTCTTGGACATGGTCATGGAATGCATCGACTTCTTTGCTGCGCGCTGCGTGGATATATGATACTGATCGCGTGCTTCCTCTTTCTACCAAAGTGTTGAGTATGGATACCATGGGTGTGAGGCCAACTCCGGCGGAGATTAAAACTACAGGAGAATCGACATTCTTCTGTAGATCGAGAAAGAATTCTCCCTGAGGTGGAGATACTTGGACGATATCACCTTCGTGCTTGGTATCGTGGAGAGTATTTGAGATCACACCTGCTTCAACTGGTGTGTTGCGTTCTGGTAGGAAAACAGCATCCTCTCGTTTTACACTGATTCGGTAGTATTTCTCATTTGGGCGGTCACTTAATGAGTATTGTCTGGATTGCAAATATCCGAAGTCTGGTACATGGACCTGAACTGAAATGTACTGGCCCGGTTTGAAAAGAGGGAGGGGTTTTCCGTCGGCGGGTTCTAGGTAGAAAGAGGTGATGATACTGGATTCCTTGACTTTCTTGGCGATCTTGAAATATCTCCATTCTTTCCACTCGCCAGCTTCTTGATATAATTGTGCTTCTCTGTCAATCATGATCTGGGCCAATTGATTATAGGCAGCCGTCCACGCGTCTAGGATTTCTGGCGTCAATGCTGCGCCGAGTACTTGGCCCATGGCCTCCAGGAGGTATTTTCCCACGATGGGATAGTGTTCTGGTCGGATGAATAATGAGGCATGTTTTTGACATATTCTTTCCACGGCATCTGAAAGTACAGCAAGGTTATCAATATTGGCCGCATAAGCAGCGAGAGCACCTGACAGAGCACGTGGTTGAGCTCCATTCTTTTGGTTTGTTTGGTTGAAGATGTTATTTAGTGCTGGATTCGCGTCGAGAACGTTTTTGTAAAAGGTGGTAGTAATGGCAGTTCCATACTCTTCGACAACAGGCACTGTAGCCTTGATGATGTCGATTTGCTGAGGTGTGAGTGACATGATAAGATTTCAATTATCTAGTAAATTGTGTTATTGTTTTCCGATATCGATGATTCTAGACATTCAAACATTCTGAACATACTGGCCCCAAGATCCTTATGTATGAATCCACCTCGAGTACCATGATTACAAACTGCTGTTAGTACAACCTTTCCCTGTCGTGACCATGAAAATTTTCTGACCTGATTTCATCGTATTGTATTGTAATCATACATATACCTCGATTGCAATTGGTGTATCACGACAAACAGTGGCATGTTTTTGGGAGCCGAGTGAGGGATACCGCTGACATGAAAAGATTGTATCCTGATCCTTTATGTACAATATCCACCAGGGGTTGAAGCATCTCCGGGGAGATGTCCATCTCAACTTTTTGGGACGTTATCAATGTTTATCAATGCAACGGGGCACCGGGTGACTTCGGAAAAATGGGTTGAAGATTTGGATGCTAAACTGCGGGTATCACGGCCCGTGACATCCCCGCGACATCCCCGCGTCCGATCCTTTTGTCAGATTAGTAAGCACACATGAGTTCAACCTATACTATGCATCTCAAATTCATTGAAGCATGCGCACTGCCAGGAGTTCTTCTTTTGGGTACAGGATACTGAGATTTCTTTCTCTTCAGATCATAACAAAGCATACTGGGAGTTGTGATTTAATTGTTAATTAACTTCCAAGACTTCCAACCTTAAGTCAAACACAAGTCCATGATGTCGTCGAAAGGCAAAGTCTAAAGCAACAACAACCCACGCGACATATATAAACAATCGCAATGTCATCAATATCTTTACAAATAGCGAGGCGACGTATGCTAGAGACTTTTCCATGGATTAAGTATCCACTCGTTGTGTCAGCGCCAATGTTGGGTGCTGCCACGCCTGCTCTCGCGACTAATGTGAGTCTGGCGGGTGGTATAGGTTTTCTTGCAGGGGGTAACGATGGGGCGGATCTTCATCAAAAACTTACCATGACGAGGTCACTCTTTAAAGTTGCCAGTCGAAAATTGCCACAACTTGAGACATTTGATCGTCTTCCTATTGGTATTGGCTTCCAGAATTGGGGCTGTAAAATCAACGTCGCTGTTGAGGCTACAAAGCAACATAAACCTTCAGCAGTATGGCTTTACGCACCTAAAAGAACCGGGGACTTAAAAGAATGGGCTCAAGAGCTTAGATCTGTTAGTGACGGGAAAGTTTCAATCTGGGTACAAGTTGGGACTGTCAAGGAAGCCTTGGATGTTGTGGATACAACGAGACCTGATGTCCTGGTCATTCAAGGTTCCAATGCTGGTGGACATGGTCTAGCTCGATCAGCCAGTATTATTTCGTTGCTTCCAGAGGTTGCAGATGCACTTGAAGATAGAAAGTCAGAAATCAATTCCATACCACTGCTTGCAGCGGGCGGAATTATGGATGGACGAGGTGTTGCTGCTGCAATGTGTTTGGGGGCGACAGGGGCTGTGATGGGTACCAGATTCTTAGCAGCTGAAGAAGCAGGTATTCCTCAAGGCTGGCAGAGGGAGCTCGTGAAAGCAGTAGATGGTGGTGTTAGTACCCGGAGGTCTACTTTATGTGACCGATTGAAGACAACAGTGGGATGGCCAACACAATATGATGGTCGCGCTTTACTCAATAAAGGCCATGAGGACGAGAGAGCTGGAATGACAGACGAAGAAAACGTTCGTTTATATAAGGAGGAGTTAAGAAATGGTGATAAGGCTTGGGGCTCACATGGCAGGATGGTTGCATATTCTGGTACTGGGGTCGGGTTGATTAAAAGCGTAATGCCAGCCGAGAAAATCATTCAACAAACAAGGAAAGGTGCTTCCGATGTCTATTAGTAGCTACACTTTCAATCGAAAAAATGAAACGGTCTTTCCAGCTAAGACTTTTTCTTTTGTATCGACACTTCACAGGGAGCAGGGAGCTTGAGGAGAATTTTTATCCCCGGATACGTAACGATGTATTTGAATTTCATTACTTTTTCGATTTCCATAACTTACATAATGCTCAAGACGCATATAAATAGGATAAACACTAATTTTTAATCATTGGAGTGTTATCTGAAACATATTGAGCACAATCCCTTTCCGCTCCTGCTTCCTGCCATTTTCAATCAGGTATATGCAATCGAACTACAATACTACACTCGTGGCAGCCGCAACACTCAGTTCGCATCGGACCCATTGATTCTTGTCACAGATGTTCGAGTAGGGGTATCTATTCTCAAGGATAGGCTGTGACAAGAACAATTCGGAAGGGGAATTTATGGTGTGCAGGTCTGTTGGTTTTCCGCAGATCGCTTGAGGTGGGTCGTCCGCAGAAGGATCACCAACCATGTTTCTGTAACCTTCCCATTTGGGGTAAATGTAGAGTGCAACCTTCTGAAAGGATTTACTCGTACCTTTAATCATAAATCTACCTACGTAAGGTTACTAGATTGGCTACTCATGGTCACCCTTTATGTTGTACGTTCCTTCCTGTGAGGTTTCCTGTGAACTTTTATTTCGTGTTCCAAGTACTTCTTCGCGATAGTTCTCATTGAACTGTTAATAGACTGAGATTGCAAATGATTTAGTAAAAGTTCAATAAATTTTTCTTTTCACAAGAATTTTCATTCTTTTCAACTTTCGCGATAGAAGGAAGGCTGGAAAATGGTTTCCTTTAAAATGTTGTTAGCCGCCTTGCTAGGCATCGCTTCTTTGAACGGCGTTCAATCAGCGACACCTCATGAATGGAGAACTCGTTCGATATACCAAGTATTCACAGATCGATTCGCTAGAACAGATGTTTCAAATACCACGGATTGCCCTTCTCAAACTCGGGGATATTGTGGTGGGACATGGCAAGGCATAATTAACAAGCTCGATTATATTCAGGTATAAGAGGAAAAGTGCAGCTATATGTAAGCAGAGTTATGGGTGCTAATAATATACTAGGATATGGGGTTCACGGCAATATGGATATCACCAGTTGTTGAACAAGTTGCGGATTCAGGTCGAGGCTTTCATGGGTATTCGGCTCAAAATTTATATGGTCTAAACAGTCACTTTGGAGACGCATCGGATTTGAAAGCATTAGCTAACGCACTTCATGGTCGAGGAATGGTATGATTAGATACAAAATAAGCATAGATAAAGATAGCTAATTATGGCAGTACTTGATGGTTGATGTCGTGGCGAACCATATGGGATCTGATGATACTGCGTATAACGTCGATTTCAGCATCATGAATCCATTCAACGACAGCAAATACTTTCATGATGTTTGCTTTATTAATGATTACAACAATCAGACGAATGTCGAACTATGCGAACTTGGAACGGAGAAGTATCCATTGCCAGATCTAAACACCACTCGACAAGATGTTCGAGATCTCTATACCACATGGATCAAGTCACTTGTAGCCAATTACTCAATTGATGGATTGAGAGTGGACACTGTTAGACACGTGGAAAAAGATTTTTGGCCTTTATTCAATGAAGCTGCGGGTATTTATTGTGTGGGCGAAGTGGCAGATGGAGATGTAGATTATCTATGTCCTTACCAAGATTACATGGATGGACTTCTTTCCTACGCGTCGTATTACCAACTCACACAATTCTTCTCCAACACCTCCGCAACATCAGAAAACCTAATAGGACAACTACAGTCCCAAAATTATCGATGTAAAGACACAACACTGCTCGGATCCTTCACCGAGAACCACGACCAACCCCGCTTCGGAAACTATACTAGTGATCTTACATTGGCTAAAAATATCATCACATACACGATATTAGCCGATGGCATACCAATTATCTATCAAGGTCAAGAACAACATTTTCATGGCGCAACTGATCCTTATGATCGTGAACCAATATGGCCTACAGGTTACGATACTAGCTCCCCACTTTATGTTCTAGTCAAGCAATTGAACGCTATACGTTCTTTGGCAATAGCACGATCAGATACATATGCGACTGATCAAACCCAAGTCGCTTACTCAGACCCACATAATATTGCGTTTCGGAAGGGAGATGGGAAATGTATGACTCTAATGGTGCTGAACAACATCGGCGAGAGTGCAGAATATTACACGGTTGAGATAAAGAATGTGGGATTTGAAGCTGGGTTGATGGTGACGGATGTGTTGAGCTGTAGGAATGTAATGGTGGATGAGTATGGTGGGATGGACGTGCCATTTGTCAGTGGGTTGCCAAGTGTGAGTCCGATCTTCTACATGAGATCGTCTAAAATCTAATCGCGCGTGTAGGTTTATTACCCGTTTTATTTACTTGCTGGCACGGGGTGGTGTGGTCAGTATTGAGATGGCATACTTCCTATCTCATTAATCTGCGTGGAGGAAGTGTTTTCTTGTGTATACTTTTGTCCACAGAACTACTCTGCGGATCCATTGTTCATAGCTTAAAACAATTTTCGTATATAATAAAGATATTTGTGGAGTATGTTCCTTTGCAAGAGTCTTACGTCATTTTGATAGCATAAAAACGATCCAAAAGTACATACAAAAGTGCTCAAAGCACCAAAACTCGGCAAAAACGCTTCATCCTTCGTAATCCATATCGCTATCACTCAGACTATCCTCGTCATTCCCGCCAATATCCGTATTCTCGTTCTCTCTAAGATCTCCAACCCCTCCAACACCCGTTTCACCACTAATACCACTGCTATTGGCACTAATAGGACCAAAATTACTCAAAGAAGCACCACTAGCTCGCTCCATCTCCCAAATAGATCGTAATCTCTCCACTTCTCTTCTAGTCTCCTCACAGAACTCATCGATTATCTCCGGTCGATCAGGAATATCAATTTGCCGCAAGATTCGCTAATTCTCCATCGCTACCAGGTTTTTCTCGTCATGGTAGCCTATAACGGTTAAATTAGCCATCGGATTGGCAATAGGAGGGCCATTTAGACCATAGCTGGTATTCAGAAGACTGTTTTGAAGGCCTGGGGCACCACCAGCAAGGTAGCCGACTGGAGCAGGGGGAGCGAAGCGAGAATCATGTGGAGGAGGATGGTGGGGGCGTAAAGCCGGAGCTAGATGGCTAGCTGGTTGTTGGTAGGTGATTTGAGAAGGGAGGATAGGAGGAGGATATACCGGATGTGCTGGAGGGATATGTGGAGGAAATCCACGTGGTCCATTGATATCGTATGGATTTATATAATGCGCGGGGTTATCCACTGGAATATAGCGGCCGGCAGAAGGAGCAATGTAGCCTAGCCATTGCATGCCAGGCTCAGCTGGATAAGGAACGGCTGGGTGGTCGTCGGGGAGGGGGTGGGGACCGAAACTGGGGTGGAGGATGGGATGATTGACCCAGGCGTTGGCTTGGATGAGGGTTGCGAATCGGGGGACTGGGAGACCGAAATAGTAGAGGGGATAGGGCGGAAGAGGGAAAGCTTGGATGCTTATGTGGCCTGGGAGTTGGTAGAGCGCTGGATGGGCGCTGGGAGCGATTTGGGAATGGTTATCGTTCGTTTTGGTGATGGGATGGTGCAAAATAAAGGTAATTGATGGGTTTTCTGGTTGAAATGATATATTTATTGGAGAAAAATGCTTGATTTTGAAAATCAATTCTGCGAAACCAGATTTGAAAGTGAAAAAATCACTAATATCTGGTATCTAGACCATGGAATTTGCCAAATCACGCTTCAATACTGTAATTTGGGACAATAACATATCAATTCTGTTAGATACCACGGTCCAAGTAACAATATAATGCTGCTAAAGTTTCTACAATACAATAACTAGAAAAATACAATAGAAGTTGTTGAAATTCTGAGCACAACGACATCAAATCAGTCATTCTCGAGGTCCCAGACACAGACTTGTCCATTTTGACCATTTAAACACCCCACAACAACAAATAAACCATCAATCATTCATGAAAGCAACTATTAACATAAGACAATACACAGATAAATCAAAGAAAGTTGTTTAGCTTTGATAGTTAAGGTTTGCTTATCATTTCTCGGCTCCCTTACTTTAAGCGACAGCTAACGTCAATGGAATGTCTAGATCTCGAGAGACATTACATCATTAGTTTACACTATGTGAGGCTTCCAATGATCAGGGTATATCTAAATGATACTTTGTTTTGATTGTTTGGGTTGACTTATAGATTGTATTTATTTAATTGTGAGAATTCGTCATGCGTGTTGAATTGCCCTGAGGTATCTGGTACATTTAATGTCATGAAGCCATTTGACAATCAAGAGTCTTTGAACTATTCAAATTGATCCTGAATATTGAGATATTCGCCTTATTCAAACCCGTCACACATAGTAAATTATCTCAACGTATCTGATACATTGAATGTCATGAAACCAAATGGCACATTGATATATCCATAAATCTCCAAATCATTTCCAGCTATCGAGCTACTCTCGTCATTCAAACTCGTCACAAATACTCAACTGTTTCAATGTACCTAATGCATTTGCTATTATCACACCAAGTAACACATCTAATTATCCTTGGTTCTTCAAGTGGATTCTAGCTATCAAGATATTCCATTATCCGAACCTGCCACAAATATCCCATCGTCCTAATATATTCAAAACATTCTTATGTTAAAAAATCACATGATAAATCGATATATCCCCCATTCTCCAAATCAATTTTGATTACTGAAATATTCTCAATATTCAAATTCATCACATGTATTCAATCATCCTCAAGTATCTAATACATCTGATTTTATAACACCGATAGAAATATTCTAATATCCTTGATTGTTCACGTAAATATCAGATATTTAGAACATTTCATCATACAATTACAGTTTAGAATATGAAGTAAGGTCAGACATTGAGACTTTATCAATTGTCAAAGCCAAAAGAGTTATCGAGACACCCTTGATTGTTCACATTAACATCAGATATTTACAATGCTTCATCTTACAAACGTAATTTGAAATATAAATTCAGTTCAGACATTGAGATGACATATCTTCGATCATTTGTATCGAATTCAGGTATTGAAATCACTACAACGTTCAAATTAAATGGATGCATTTGAAAGTTCTGAGGTATTTATTACAATTCATATCATTGGAGCTTTGGGAACATTGATTTAAGGCTATTTCATGGAGCTTTTTGGGACATTGAGATTGTCTCAATTGTATGATAGGACATGGGATTTGTGCTAGACAATATATGAGAGTCTACTTGGTTTCTTATCATAAGGTCAGTAGTGGAATACGTGTGATGTAATGTAATGACGTTGCTGGAAGCGTTCAAATCTGTTCGGATTATGCAGTCTTTGGAGTCGTTGTCTCCACACCATTAAAGATTTGGTGACATTGAGGTTCATTCCGATCATGAGTCGTCTAATAGCATACAGTTTGTCTAGAATATGCAACAACTGCTCGAAATCCAAACTATATGAAATACACAATTTGTTACAGGCAAATTTTCTAAAGGCTTACTAATTTTCTACATAAGAGCATACAGACCAATCGTTTCAAAAAGCACCACCAAACATCCCAAACATACACCCTTACCCCTACATATGATGCGCACTTCTAACCCTCCTCTCCGCTTCCTCCCTCACCCCCTCCCAAATCCTAAACATCCCCTCCCACTCCCCCCCACTACTCTTATCCCACAACTCTCTCCACCAATTCCCCATCGACTCAAACCCCCTCATACTCTTCACCCTCTCCAAATTCGTCTCTGACCCCTCATAAATTACCGTATCTACCCACAACGTACACAAAAATGCAAAAAGTGAACATCCCTCAATCTCCCTAATCCTCTTCACAAAATCCCAACACGAAATCCTATCACCTTTGAGAAAGGAATCTTGCAGACGAAGCAGTAAGGCTAGCTCCATGAAATCAGGCCCGGATTTGATAGTTTCGGTCTGCAGATTCGGAGAAAAGATTTGCAAGCGCAGGATCTCGAGACTAAGTCCCAGAGTCGAAAGTTGAAATTTGTGATCTCCTAATGCGTTAGGAAATTGTTTGGAACATTGATTTACAAAAATCGACGTCCCTCTATTCCACGCAAGTAAAGCTCTTCGACGTTCCTCCGAGGGTATTTGGAGTTGTGGAATATCGGCTTGACCGGATTTTAATAGAGCATCAATCTTATTTTTGTGATTCTGTACAATCGTCCACATAAATCCAATCAAGTGTGTTAAGTCAGAGAGTCTTTCTTCTTCCGAGACGCTCTGTTTCTTGAGATGTTCAAATATCGCAGCAGCACCTCTCCGTTGCGTTTCTTCATGTGTCCAGAACGAATTTTCAATCTTGGAACTTTGCAATAAAGACATTCCGAAACTTTGAGCAATTTTTCTCTCTTCAGATTCGCCTTGTGCGCCGAGTATCGCCTGGATACTCTCCCATCTCTCTCTTAAGATTTCATTATCATGTCCTGGTTCAGGAGTAACCGGAACTATACGTATAGTTGATATATCTCTAAATTTTATCGGCGTTCTATTTTTTGTATAGATGTCGAAATTGAGACGAACGCCATGGTTGATTGATCGGTAGTGAAATAATTTGTGTCCAAATCTATGTACCATATAATCCCAAAACTCTCTTTGCTGCATGTCTTCATAGAAAGAAGCCGGTATTGGAAATCTTTCCTGGTAATCGAAGGGTCCGGGGTTCATTAACGTAATACTCTTCGATCCACAGAGATCTTGACTTTCTACCGATGGCCATATCGTCTCAAACCAATGCCCATATGGCATTCCTCTCACCGTGGTAAAAGAACGAACAGTTCCGCCATTCAACTATAGCCAACACGATTAGTCCTCAAGATCCCAATTTCGGAAACAGGAAAAACTCACAGCAACCTCAAAACTAAACCCGGCTTCAGCCAATGCTTCATCATCAAAAAACCACGGCGGGTTCTCATCATCTGGATTACTCACTCTCGTCCCATCAATCCTCGGACAAACAAAATTAATCGCGTGAACAATCTCATGCACCAGCGTAATAGCAGTTGCCCATTCCACCATTTTCCTCTCCGAAGTAGTCAAATCATTTCTGAATAATGATTGTAACCTTGAATAAGCAAGCCACACATAAATCTGCCATTCTTTATTTTCCGCTTCGTGATACTCCATGTATTGATAATTCGTTACGGTAAGTCCATACACACTATCTGGAAGTGTATCTTCTGGATCGATGGGATATTCTGGACCCCGAGGATCTTCATCGGGTGACATGAAGCCGAATTTGCAATTCCAGTTATTTTCTAGATCGTCGAATACCTCTTCCATTCTCTTTCGCACGAGACTGTAATCTGTGATATTGTATGGAAGAAAAGATACCAAATTGTCCGGAACTTCATCTTTTGGACGAATCCTCGCTGGATCAATAGGAACTCTTTCGCCGAATATCAGAGCTGCGAACTATTATCTAAATCAGCCCGAACCTGTAAACCTCAGATGCTTCTCAGCAGATCAGCTCCTACCCACGGTAATGTATACATGCTCGTTATAGTCCTACTCGCCAATTGCAGAACCGGCTTCAACTTTTCATACACCAACGGATTATGCATTGACCAATCTCCCCGCTGCACCCCATCGATTATCAGCGGGTACATATGATCCCTCGTCAAATCCGGCTGATGGGGTTGTATTTCCCATCTCTGCTGTTGGAAAAGTGGCATGATGGGATTATCCAAAGTTGATTCCTTCAATTGCCTGTCAGTGATAACGTCCATATCCGCCAATTCTCGAGAGGTAAATCCATCAAATTGCTCTCGTTGAAAGTCCTCAATTCTATTCCGGAGAACGATTTCTGCAGGATCCATGTGTGCTTTTGGGAAAAGGGGAGCGAGGGGTGTAAGCCCTGATATTTGGGGGTTCTCTGACCAGGCGCCATATTTGGGAACATTGCGACTTTGGCGGGGGTCGTTTCGTAACATGGTTGGCGGCGTTGTGGTCTTCAAAAGTTTCCAAAAAATCAAATGGGATTACTTTCCTTACTGTGATCGCGCTATACGGTAGAACACAACGCTTTCCTTTGTTTGACTATGGCAGTTGGTTAGTTGTAAATGCAAAACCTGCCGTCCATCTTTGTTGCACGTACAGTAAATTTACTATTCAATCAGGAATAATAGAGACAAAGGATTTTCGAAGTTGCCTCAACATCAGAGCCAAATTATTGATGGTATCAAATAGTAAATCTGAACCTTTGTCAAGTTGCTATAGACTAACGAAATAGCTTAAAGCGGGATCGCTGGATCACCCAATCCGGACAAGAAAGTAACATAAAGCCTTCCAAATTCTCTCAAAGCAAAAGTTTGTCTATATTCCACCCCATCACAAACTATGAACCTATCATGTAAATCTCACAGTTGAACAGACTCTCAAATACCATGTCTACAATCGGCACCAACAGTTCTTCCCCTCGTCGCCTAACCTTCTTCACTCCTCCCCAATCCCCTAAAACCTCACAACCAAGCACTCGACGAGCCTCCAGAGTCATCACCTCCAGTCCACGAAAAAGAGTTTCCTTCCCCGTCTTTCCCGGAGAAATCGAATTACCAAGACGTCAGACCTCATGGCGACAGAAGCTAGCCAACGTACCAACGTTATGGTCTGAATTTAGTACCGCGTTTCGCCATCGCATTTCCATGAGAAGACTCATCAAGGTGATCATTCTTATCTACGCAACTGTCCTTATCTTCCGCGTCATTGATATTCGTATCTCCCTGGGGGAAAATCCTATGTACGAAAGAGAAGAAGAATATATACACGGGGGAAAGGGAGACTCTCTGCGTAAAAAGGAACAATCTATGTACGAAAGAGAAGAAGAAAATGTTCACGAGAGGAAGCAAGACTTTCAACGCGAAAAGAAACAACCTACACACAAACATGATAATCGCGATGCCTTTCACATTTCACACCAATTCGAGCCCTACGAGCTAGTCAGTCCATTATATGATCTCGCAAATTTAGATATCAGTCCTCAGCTTGATGTCTTAAAAGATGCATATTCCGATTCGCGATATGGACTTAACAGACTGAGGGATGGTCTGCCAGAACTGTCGAAAGATTCTCCAGGGCTAAGTACCAAAATTCGAAGTTTTCGAGAACAGGTCTGGTCAGTCTCGGAAGCTATTGGAGGGTTTTCAAAATTCATCGATGTTTATATAGGCACTTTTCAGCGAGAAACAGATCATCTAAGGGAAGAACTCGCCAAAGTGAAACCTGGAGATGAAATTGCCAATCTAAATCTAGAAGATTGTAGAAAAGTGGGAGTAGTTTGGATTACTCTTCATAAACGATTAAAGCTAAAGATAAGAAATATATGGAGAATGAAGGATGTATTTTCAAACATTATTGACTCAGTCATTAGAGATAGGAAAAATCTTGAAAAAGCACTCAAGGAAGCCGAGTGCGGTATGACCAAAGAAGCAAAAAAGCAGGGATGGGATAATTTTGATTTTCCCTCGGCATATCAGCTCCTTGAAAGATTTAGTCGAGGCAGAACTAAAGACAAAAATTGGGGGGGCTATGAGGAAACGATCAAAGAGTTGATTATATATATTGATGTATCCCTCAAGGATGCTAATGCACAAATCGAAAATTTGATGGCAGATTTCCAGCGGGTTTTAAGTGCTGGTGAGAATAAGGCAGATGTGGATTCGATCGATTTTCCAACAATTTTCAATCAAATGGAGGCGCTGAACATTACCTTTGAGAAATATGAGCGGGTCAAAGTCCTGATTGAACGCATGAAAGAGAAGTCGATGAAGGAACTGAGAGCAAGAGCTCATGATTCAAAAGAGAGGAATAGATATTACAACTATGTTGCTAGCCAACAGAAAGGGCGTCTTGATAAGCACATCATCGCCCCGAGGGATAGGAAAAAGGAAGAATTCTTGCAGAATTTGAAAGAAAGAAGAGTCAAGCAGAGTCAGAAAGGGGGATGAAATTGTCGCATGGTCAAATGAGTCCGGAAGTACCCTTGCGAACTTTCGAATTTCCAATTTTCTAAAAGCCTTAAATTAAATTTCAGAAAAATCAAACTTATACGCTTTCGAGTCAATTGACAAAGTAAAATTTCATACCCTAATCTGCTCGTCTATCATCCACCCCATTTGTGACCACTTTCAATGCATGCATTGCTTGACAAACGAACAATCATCAGATTTTGACGAGAGAAGAGGGAGTGAAAACAAAGTCAACGGGTACTCAAGTATAAACCGATGAGGTTACTCCCAGAGTCTGACGAATAGCATTTGCGATCGCTTTCCCTCTCTTATCACTAGATACTAGGTGTCAGACATTTGCAACTAACAAATAGTAAGCAGTGAACATATAGGTAAACCAGTCCGTAAAGTCATAGCCAACAAGATACCTGAGCACAATTGACAGTAAAATCAAGAAAGTACTTTTCCCCTCGAACACTATGAGCCCCTTTTGACAAATTTTTAACAGCCAGTAGTAGATACATGCTTGTATTCATATCCACATTTAAATCCTCACAACATTAGCACCATGAACATGCCCCGAAGAATTCATATACTATTCGCAATTATAGCTAACAATCGTTTGAGCTCTTCAGGAATTCGAGTCTTTTGAAACTCACTAACCAGTACGCTGGGTATATTACCACCATCCATCCATACCAATCATTCCCTTCGTCCTCCCCGAAATACAATATCAAAGCTTAATGCTTAATAATACACGCTGAAAAGTAGAAGTAGTCTTTTTCTTTGAATCTAAAGTCATTTTATAGTTTAGGCTTGACGTTGTTTGCGCTCGCGCTTGCTTCCTTATTGACAACAATATCGCCAGATTTTGGTCCATTGCCGAAGAAGATGACTTCTACTGTAAGATCATCACTGTACATTTGTCAACATGGTTTCATGGAAATAAACAGCGTAGAGAGCGTAACATACCGGTATCTTCTAGAATAAGGTGCAGGTAGTGACAGTAAAGCGCAAACCATATCCTTGTCCTTTCCACCTAATGCATTTCGTACCAAATGTGTGGCGACATTTTTGTCCTCAACAACAAATCTATCACTTTCAGTGACGCCCCATTGACGTTGTCGAATTGGGGCTTTCTGGCCACTATTACCATCATCTTTACTTGTTTCTACAGGTAATCCTTTTTGCGACGCTGTAAACATTTTTGTCCATGAACTTGCGGAATTCCCATTCGAATCGGCTGAATGTTTATCAATCCATTGTCCAACCAAACCGACAACTTCTTCGTTTGAGAGCATCTCCCAAAGTCCATCCGTAGCCATTACAACAAAGTCTCCACTCTCCGGTTGAATCTTGGTAGTCGTTACTACAGGTTCCGCAGTGACGTACGGTGGGGTTCTAAGAAGGCTGGATGGTGTTCTTCCAAAGAAAGATTCCTTTAGCCTCTCTGAAACTTGACGAGTCCATTTATAAGTTGCGTCGCCGAATGCGCGAGTTGGTTCGAGACCTCCCAAGACACGACCATTTCTAATTACGTGATCCTCTCCAGGATGTAATTTCCTCATCCTGGCTTCTTCATCTTGATTGCTACCAGTTTGATCGATTGATAAAGCTTTAGCAGTCCATTTTCCATTATCACTTCGTCTTCCTAAGATCGCGCGTGAATCTCCTGTGCATGCGACGCGCAGAAGTCCGGTGTTTGTATCATAGAAAGAAAGAAGCGCGCAAGATCCTGATAATGCTGGAGCTAACAGTTCTGCTGCGACCAATTTCGAATTGCCTTTCATTACTTTCTGCGCACTTTCATGTACAATCTCATTGTCGAGTCGAGTGAAGCCAGTCTTCATCGCAGCTTCAATGGCTTCGGTGGAAGGATTGGGAGAGGCTTGGTAGGTAGAGTTGAGTTCTCTAGCGACATAATTGATCAATACTTGTCGTAATTTCGCAGAAGTAGTCCAGCCTCTGTTGAGATGTTAGTGTGCGTAGTTGTAAGTTAAAATAGAAACATACGAATGCCCATCGAATACACCCCAAAACATCCAATCCGAGGGTGATTGTCCGGCAATTGCTTCATTGGTTTCAATAATCTTTTCAGAATGATCATCCTCGATTGGGTCATTGCTTGGGATTTGAACGACATCGTATCGCACTACTCCTTTGCCACGACCGACAAAATAAGATTCTTCATTTCTTCTCAATTTTGAAGTTGCTTGGTCTGGTGTTAACATTTCTAAAACTTTTCTTCCAGAATCGTCGGTATCCTTTGAAATTGGACCTTCAATTGTGTCAGTATAAAGACCTTCTGTGCTGACAATTACAGCCTTCCTAGCATCCGCGGTCTCTTCGGGCCCGATCGGTGTTGAATAGATAGTGCTAGTTGAGAAGCCGCGAGATTGTTGTACTGATGAAGTTGGACTGGCTTCTTGAGTGAGAGTTCCGTCTCCGTTGTATGTATACCACGCGCCATATCCAACCAAGCCTGAAACGAAGGCCAGACCAAACCTTCGCCAATACATCGAGGCTGGGATGAAGGAGCTTTGGAGTGGTGAAGTTGATGATGCTGATGATTTGGGAATAGGAGCTCTACCGGAAGAATATCGTGCACTTAGAACATAGTTTGATGGTTGAAAGATGCTTCCACGGGTGCTACGAAGAGCAGGTAATTGTCTCGCCGTGCGAATCGCTTTTAATGCTACTCGACGCATTGGAAATGAAGATTTCTAGTATTTAGGAAATTCCCAAGTTTTGAGTTCCTGGGGGGTTTAGCTAAGCTTGATTTCCGAGATAACGCTTTGGTAGTACCCCGGATATTGCCAGGACCTCAAGAGGGGTGGTTGGGCGGACGGACTGTGGGAGAGTGGTTGGAAGGTATTGATATTATAACAATTGAGAGAATGGTAATGGTGGCAGGCGGAGAAGAGGTAATAAAGACGAAAGACGACTGACTACCTAGTATTCTTCTTATCAATATAACATACTGGGGAGGTAATTATTCTTCTTCTTGTTTTGTTGAGAAAGTACAACGTGAACTACCAGTAGGTGCTATTATGTACAAGTACTACCCACCAGGTCTGTGTATCAGAGTCTGCGAGGTCTTGCTCTTGCCAGCAGTAAAATGGATCTGCTCTCTGCTCATCCCGAAACATGACCAATCAAACGATTAGGTAAGCAATCTCTATCGGTCCACCAGTCTATCAACCCCACTAGCTCGAGATTATGAGATGTAGGTAAGTGAATCGAATGCGTCATTCAATTTTTATTGGAACAGATGAATGATTCTAGAATAGAATAGGTCCGCTATTTTTGTTTGTCAATTCTTGCACACTCACATTCACATTCATTGCCATTCTCATTCTCATAATTCTCCGCACGCATCTTGATATTCATTGGTATTATTCAAATAACAAATACCCTCATCATGTCGAGTAGACAATTACGAAAGTTACAACAACAGCGCGAGCTGGAACAGCAAGCCAAACTTCAAGCTCAAGAGGAAGCGGCAGAAGAAGAAGGAGAAGAAGAATCCGATGAAGAGCCACAACCTTCACAATCAAAACCCAGCTTGTTTGCGAATTTCGCAGCTTTAGAAGACTTAGAAGACGATGACGATGACGAGTCGAAGGGCGTCGAGGAAGAAGAAGAGTCAGCGGAAGAAGAACTGATCGAACCCACACCAATTGTGACACCGAAAAAACCCAAGAAGTCAAAGAAAAAGAAGAAGGTAAAAAATGCTGGAAAAGGAAAAGATTCTGCAAAAGCTGCTGAAGCTAAACCGAAGAATGATTTGGATGATATTGATCAAGCTTTGAAAGAGTTAAATTTGAAGAAACCAAATGCTACAAATATGACGAGTTCAGTCGAAGTGGATGAAGAATACGAGAGAGTCTGTTTTCTCTTGGGTATCAACACACAGCATCTCAAAGTTGCAAACGAAATGCGAAGCTTATTTGGACGAGCTGCTACAGAGCCAAATGAAGATCCTGGAGGACCTACTGGCCGTGGAGCAAGGAGAAGGCAACATAATCAAGAAATGGATTTAGAGACAGTCTTGAAGGGACGCCATCAACCTGGCAAAGGACTTCCAGACCTTACCTTGCGACGTAACCTCTTCATCCAGGGGAAGGATGAATGGCCAAAATCTAGCTCGGGTGGATTAACGATGGAAGTCGTCAAAAATCAAGATGTGGTTGATGGCACCATAGAATACAGATTTGTACATGATCAATCATACCAATCTGTGCAGGTAACATTTCAAAGTCTGGTTGAAATGGGTGATCCGCAAAATCTTATTGGGTTAATTGTGAGATATCGTGAGTAAAATCTATACTTCACATAGCTTTAACTGACCAATCATAGCGTACAACATTTCACTTCTTCTCCAAGTCAGCAAGATTGCAAAAAATCAAGGCGACCATTCTCTAGCATCGGATCTGGTCGAAAGAGCTCTATTTACGTTTGGCCGAATCTCTTTGTCATCCTTTGGTGCTAAATTGGCCAAAGGTAAAGCTCGATTAGATTTCAGTAGACCAGAAAATCGAGAACTTTGGTTAGCTGGATATCACTACATAAAATCTCTCGTCATGAAGGGAACTTATCGAACTGCTTTTGAATGGGCAAAACTGCTCTTGAGTTTGGATCCCGAAACTGATCCATATTGCATGAGATGGATGATACACCATCTTGCTTTACGTGCACATGAATTTCAATGGCTTTTGGACTTTGCCGCCAGTCGAAATATACCCGAGTGGGCAAACACAATAAATTACGCCAAACCATCATTTGCCCTGGCCGCGCAACAACTTAAGGACGCGGTTAAATGTAGAAGTCTTCTGTCGGAATCTATGCAACAGGTACCTTGGCTGTTTTGTCAACTGTTCCAAGAACTAAACCTTGACGCACCTCCGTCAATTTGGGGAACACAACCACCAACTGCATCTGATACTTTCTTCACGCAATTATATGTTCTCCAAACAAAAGATCTTTGGAATACTACCGAGTCTACTGCATTACTCATGGAAATTGCGCATACAATTGATAAGCCCGATTTATCAAAAACCCCCCTGCTATCGGACCTCAAGGAATTAAATCTTGATGTTGTTAGGTTTGTTTATTTGGAGAATCAACCAGATTTGATGAGTCTCGTCCCATCAAATCTCCTCCACAGAAGCAACAACTCGGATTCAGATCCATTACCACCTTATTCGAATACCATCTCCTACTCATCTCAAAGAAGAAATCTAGGAAATGAGCACGAACCCGTTGAAGATAGATTTAATGATCCGCTCGCGGCTCTCGCACGACTCATGCCAGGATTTCCAGGATTAGAAGCATTCCGAGGCCGTGGAGTAGGGGGTGATGATATCGATGGTGGCGATGAATTAGAGAATGAAGCAGAAGCACTTGAACGATTAAGAAATTTTGCAGAAGGATTACCGGCAGGGGAACTGGAGGGAGATGCCGAAGGAGAATCAGAAGAACAACCACGTGGACCATCACTTTCTGCAGCTTCAAGAATCTTGCAATATCTTGGCTTTTGGAGAACACCGGAAAATTTTGATGATAACTCTGAAGCGGAGGAGGATAACAATGATTCAATGTCTGGATTGGTAGATCCAGAGAGACAAGATGGGGACCATAGGCAGGCACGTGTCGAAGATGTGGATGACGATGAAGAAATGCCTGGTTCAACTTAAATGGAATAGTTAATATCTATATATTACAGCTAAAAAGCGATTTTAAGAAGAATATGATCTTCAGCGCAAATTGGATGTATAATACTCGGACCTGTGATATCAGTACGCAGAAATACTGTACCTGCATTCACGATTGCATGTTGTATGTTATGCTACATGTTCAGAAGAGGCAATTGTGTAATCAAATAGCTTCAACCCAAAACGGTCATGAATAACCCTTGTTGCCCATTGTCTCCTGTGATACCCGCTCCCAATATCAAATAGTCAATATTGATATTAGGAAAGCGGATTCGACCCCTTGAAAAACATGCTCACAATATCCCATAACATCTCACACCATCGAAAAAGCAATATCCGTCCGTGATGGAATGGAGTCTCATAATCCCCGTGTGTGTGATGAACACTCGACTCAGCCAGTAAGTGAATGATCTGTTCTGAGCAAGTTTCATCCTTGTTTGGCGCCAGGCCAGGGTCCATCGGCTTTGTGATTTCTAAGCGAGCGCATTGCGTTATCAGTGCAGGTGCCCCTCTCAGTCTTTCCGCAGCTTCGAAAGAGTTATAATAATCCGTCGTCGCATCCTCTTTCTGTTGCTACTTTCGATACAATAATAAATTTACTTTACTTTACTTTGCATTGAATACCTACGTCTAAGAATTAAGATTCATCCATTGTTCATAACCGCAAATACATCCCTCGAGATACGATAAGAACAGATAATTAAATAAGACACAATGGCAGACACCGGAGTAAACACACCAGCTCCTTTGATCGCAGAGGAGGGCGAACATACATACAAGTTCAATATTTCGATGAGCTGTGGAGGATGCTCTGGAGCTGTTGATAGAGTTTTGAAGAAATTGGATGGTGAGTTTGTTCCGTTTTCTTACTCTCTGATATCTTACTCTTCTCCTCTGCTTCGCGCATGGAATACATGAGCTTTGCGCAGGTGGCAGCTTGGCGTCGCGGACCTATCAACTACCTCGATCATAATCTTAGCATAAAAGAAGATCACTAACTAGGAAAATAGGTGTCCGCGCATACGAAGTCGATCTCGCAGGTCAAACCGCAACAGTCATTGGAAAGCCAGAATTAGAATTCGATACTGTGTTGGAGAAGATCGCAAAGACGGGAAAGAAGATTAATACGGCGGAGGCGGATGGAGTAAGCAAGGATGTTGCTGTTAAGACTGAATAAGCGGTCGGAGAGAAGGAGGGAGGAGTGGACTCGTGAGCATTTGATGGATAGATGATGGCGGATGATGGGATACGAATACATATGCGGTGGAGAGACTGGTAGATTGAGACACAGATTGCGCGGGTGGCTAATAGATGTGGGGGGATCAATACGAAATTATGACCTATATTTGATGTGTTCTGGTAATGATATTTGGTATGGTGTACTGGGTGTTGCTTTGCATTTCCTCTCGGTTCAAATAGTATGCTTTATTTCAAACGAATGTCAAGAGGGAAAGAACGGCATTGGTGAGAGATGACTGGTAGTACCAGCCCATTCCTTCAAGAATGTAGACGGCTCTACGAGTCTGCCTTCTTCGAAATAAGACCACCAACAACAATTGCTATTAATAATGGGCCACGCCAAATTTTCACTGCGGATACATATAGTACATGATCACGCGATCTTCGCGAACGAGAGCAGTATATCAATGCTCGTCGCTGCGAATCAAAATGACTAACAGCTGCTTGTACCTTTGCAGTGCAAAGCATAGGGGAGAATGAATCACTGTGGTGGTCTATCCTATTATTGCTCTTATTTCCACGAGCAATGGGTAGCGCGTTGCGTAATTTTATGGCCTTTTAATTCGTTCTAACTGTTCTCCCCACTTTTTTTTGTCGTTGAGACGTGTTTTTGCTGTCGTTTAATGTACCTGTGATTTTGCGTTCATTAATGTCATTTTCGTCCGGTCTCATCGCGCACTTCGATAGATGTGAGATCGCGAAAACAAGTGCTTGCGCACCATGCGTACGGATTTGGATTCGGAGATGCGTTTACGATGTATTGGCTTTGCAACGCAGACTTTTGTACTAGAGATGAAGTCGCTGATTTCCGAAGTGGTTCTTGCTGTTTGTGTATGCTTGAGAGGGGTGTTTTATATGGATGGTAATAGGATTTGTGGGGTTGGATTGTGGATTGTGGATGGGGTGAAGGGGGGGTTTGATATTCACTATAGTGCATGCATGGAACAGTATGTATTCTGCTATTCTTGGACTTGGCCTGGATCACGAAGCAGGATGAATATTTTCTTAACAAGTCATCACTAACAATCTGCCTGGCCTTCTCAGTGAATGTACCATCTTCAAATGTATTCAATTTCCCAACCCTTTTTATGATTCACATACCGAAACGTCAATGCGTGCTTAATATTCTCTTTCCTCGTGAATGGAGTTCACCGAAAATCAAAATGTGGACAAAACGAGGCAAAGGATTTCCTTGTTAAACCTCGAGACAGAGAGGGAAAGAGTAGAGCTTTTGCATCTATTTATATTGCGTCAACGAGAAAGGAGAGTTCCATGTTTGAGGGGTTAGAACTGGTCGAATTTGACAAATGGATTGTTTTGTGGTTTGTGGATTCGTGGATTTGGGCTTGAGGATTGTATGGGGGAGAGTGTTTTAGGAGAATGATAGAGGGTAGAGGGGGGAGTTTGGGTCGGATGGCAATCTTTGATTGTTGGTGGTGTTGTTCTGTTTTTATTGGATTGGGATATATGTTACTATTGTTGTTGTTGTTGTTGTTGTTGTTGTTGTTGTTGTTGTTATTTTATTGTTACTGCCGTTATTCTCCAATCTTCCAATATTAAGGTCAAATCACAAAAACTACATGAAACTAGATACTCCAAAGCAGCAATCGAGAAGAAACAATATTTTTTGCACAACATTTACTGCAAGTCATGAACAATATGACATATGTCATTCCGAGCGCTGCTTAAGTTCATAGTCTGAAACAGACAGTGTCAGAGATTACTTTATACTCGTATATCGTATATTGTATGTCTAATCTCCTATGCGGGGAAGGGACCGAATGCGGAACTAGGATATTCGGCGATTCTCTAAGAGTAAATGCACTCTTCTGATACTAGTAAACTGCCGCCTCATCATAAATACGTAGTGACAGAGACCCGGTGATCATATGCTTCACCTTAGGAAACCAGATATTCACTTCCTGCGGAGACTTCTAGCTCTGAATTTCGGAGTATTTCAGAGAGATAGAAAGAGATCTTAGACTCGCTATAATCATCCCTGGCAGCATCATCATTCCGGTATAGAGTCAGCGACTTAGAGATTCCTGTACAGAGAATTGAAAATTACTTGAAGATCTTGAGGAGATAGATTGTTAGGGGTTAGGGGTTCACCCTGACGCGGGGCAGTTGAGTTTTGGATATTGTTGTTGCTTTAGCCAACGTTGTCTGTCGTGCTTTCCCATCGTCGTCATTCTATCCATATTCGACACTGATTTCATTCACTTATTATTACTCTGCTTCACGCAATTTGGCAGACGCGTAGTAAATACGTAAGTAGAGAGATAGTACGGTGAACCAGATCCCTTTATTCTTTCTATCTCAGAAGTGGATCAGATTTATACGAATCCATGAGCTTTTTTCTTGAATCTACTCCTATGCTAAATCATAGCTTTTTGATTGAAGTTTAAGCAAGCCTTTTTGTACTCGAATATTGAGTATTTTTTGGTTAGATATAGATTTGATGTTGTCCTAAGCGGCTATCGCTTAGGTGGGAGAGGGGGATTAATGTGGGGAGATGGGAGATGTCTGACAGCGTCGCATATTCATGCGCTGCATAATTTCACACTTTCCTCACCACTCCGGTATTTCAGACTTTATTTGGTGGTATATAAGTATCTCGAACCCTGAAATCGAAATCATTAACTCGATCACAGTTTTTCCAACAAGTGCTAGGGAGACACCGCTGCGCCTTTCGCAAGCGGACTCCTCTTTCGAGATTGGAGGTTGTAGTTTCAGGTTGTTCGGTTTGAATTACTAGTTTGGCTGTGGTTTGAGTGTGCAGGGAATTCCATCTAATTCACAGTCAGCAAAAGGCGTTCCTTCATGTTGTCGACACGTATTTACTCTCGTTTTTGTCAATTTTGTTCATTCATTGTTATTCGTTACTGCTTAAATTTTTACGCTCACTAAAGGGGTCAGAACTAATAAGTCGAGCGGTTTTGTAGATTTCTTCCCCATCGAATCTTATTATCTTAAGTTGATTTGTTCTTTTGGTATGTGACTCTGTTGCCCATGTTGTAAAAAATGAAGCATTGTGTTTAATTGCTCTCGTTGCAAGCCCGGAAGGGGGATTATATATTCGCTTCTTGGATTTGTTTCGTGGGCTTATGTGTGAATTGAGCAGATTCCCATTTTGATCTGTTCGAAAGTGAGGAGTTTATGCCCCGTGATAATTGGATTTCGTGAAGACCCGCCAGGTTTCACAGTCTGGGTACTTGAACACCCAGATCAAAGTTTCACTCCTTACATTCATAGCAGGCATTAAAAAAAAGTCTCGTATCGATTGGTGAGCAATCAACAAACATAGAGTTTCAAAGCAACCTCTGAACAAACAAGGACTTCATGATCTTTGCCCAATCTCAAGCCTCCGAAACAATCTAGGTCAGATGGGCTTCTGGAGGGCCATTCAGATCCACCAAATCAGATACTACGTCATCCTGATGAATGACAACGAAGCAGTTATGGATTTCCGGTTCATAATGCGGGAAAGGCTACACAGGATAACTGAGGGGTAAAGTATATGTATATACCGTAGACTAGTCAACTGATCAATCGTAGACCCATAATCAATAATGCTTGCAGATATCTTACAAGCACTGCAACTCTTATCCAAGCACCACAACGCCGACTTGTGAAGTCTGCCTAGTACGTGTCAGTAGGCAAAGATAGCAAGCCTACCTCGTATTTTAATGATCGAGAAATCGAAGAGATGGGGAAGATATTCTCGCTGCTTGTGCTCTCAATCACCGCCCTGTCTGTAGATCCTCTTCCCATTAGGAAAATGCAAGGGTCACTGAGGGGTGACATAAATCACCGGATTGGCTGACTTGCATAACACAGGAACAAATGGAAAGACGGTACGTATAATGCGAGGCTGAATGAACACATTGGAAATGTTACAACACATCGAAAAAAACGCCCGATTCTAATTTTCCAGCAGCTTTAGAATTATATATCTACATTTCTCGAATAATATGGTGCAAAATTTTAAGCTGCATTTGAGATGTTCTCTTCGTATTTCTTCCATTTCACTATTATTTGAGATTCCGAGAATATCATTGTCAAGTCAACAAAATTATCCTGAATATTAAATAGGCTCACCCGGAGCATTTTGTCCCAAAATTATCAGTTGACATTTCAACGTTGCACCTGTCAAATGGCATCCAACGTGATCAACGTACCTTGTGTCCAAGATCCTTACAAGTCACTGCCTTTACCTAAAGCTGAGGAATCGGCTTGTGTCCGCGTCCTAAATATTCATGGTACTACCAAAGATTCCCCCCTTTCAGGAACTCTCGAGGTCGTAGCCGTGAGTCGTTCTGAGGGTCCCTGGTTTTCTGCTCTCTCTTATGTTTGGGGAACATATCGATCGCCACCGGATACGATTAACTGTAACGGTCACGAATTGAACATCACAGCAAGCTGTCACGATGCACTGAAGGCACTCAGGGAGATGCACGGGGGTATCAAAATCTGGGTAGATGCAATTTGCATTAACCAAGCGGATTTGAATGAAAAGGCAGAACAAATACCAATGATGCCTCGCGTTTATCAAAATGCCGCCGCAGTATATACCTGGCTGGGTCAAGATAGCTTGTTGTTGAGACAGGCAATAAAAGCCGTCAGTGCAGCCTGGGAGCTCGACTACGGCAACTTTATTGGGTGGACAAGATTCTCTTGGGTACCGCAATCAATACAGTATGCCATCTCGTTTCCAAGAAACTGGCTTCGTTTGCGTCAAAGTATATGCGACATAAGGAAAACGACAAGATCTTCAGGTATTCCTCTAGAGCAGGTCAATCTCGACTGTGAGTGGTTATACCGGGCTTGGACGTTTCAGGAATTCATGCTCGCTACGAACCCACGCTTTTTCTGGGGAACAACCGAGATTTCTTGGCTACACATGGGAGGGATATTTTATTTTGCGGATGAGCCCAAGTCAAAACTGAGAAGAGCGACCTCGTACGCCACGACTTTTGGGAAAAGCTATGATATCGCGTTTAGGACGTTCATTGAGCCCTGGGCTGATATAATGTCTCAGTTTTCATGGTCTTGGATTTTGCAGCTTGAGAAAATGTCCATGTCAACCCAATTATCAGTAGTAAGTGCACCATACTTTTGATCAACTCTAGTGGAACTCTTTAGCCCAATGGTAATCGATAATCAACGATTTGGGCTGCTAAATCTTCCCTTCGTGCGCTCAAAGTCCTGACGCCAGCGATTACAAGCCTGTCTACACTTCGATGGGCGACACCACTGCTAGCTATAGCTGATTATTTGCAGCATCGGGTTCTGAAGAGAGAGAAAGTTCATTCGGAATTATTATCCGGGTATGCTGTCATGAAAAATATCCGGATAAGACGTACATCAAATAGTCATGATCATGTCTATGCATTCTTTGGAGTTCTGGAAATGATTTATCGAGTAACCCGCCATTGGCTGACTACGAACGACCCCTCGACTTGGTATATTTGGATTTTTTTGTATATGTCACCGGTTGCCACATTTCATTTTTGCATCTCATTGCCGACTCGGGACTTCAACAAGCACTTCCGGGAGGACCGTCTTGGCTGCCGGATTGGAACACAGCCTTAGAGACCCGCACCTGGTTGAGTTCCGAATACTTACACGAGATGGGCAGGGAGCGTATAGGAAACGTCATCAAGGGACGACACATGGATACACCCATTGGGGAGATAGAGATGATATGTGTGGTTGAAGGGCGTGTGTTGAAAGTTTTGGCGACTTTTCATTCCAAAATTACGTTTTTTGACACGGTGGAAGAGCAATACTGGCAAAATTTTATGGCCGCTTACCATACACCTCAATTGGATACAGCGAATATTAATGAGTTCGAAGAGGAGTTTGTGCCCCGTTTGGCAGTTATGAGGTTATTGTATAGTTGGTTGAAAGTAACCCCCTCCACCCGCGACTTTATGGAGGATCCTCTTTGGGCGATAATGTCTTTATTTGGTTCGCCAGGTAATGGGCATGCAATGCCAACGATTCTTTCCAAGAAAAATTGGATAGTAATGGCGGCGGTAAAGCTGCTTGCATATGTACACAGTGCGGCGACCGAATCTTGGTCAAGTGATCCCGAGCGGGATAGCACAATAGCGAGTCTGCTGCTCCTTATAAAGTTGACGGACAATCCGCAGGCCCTCCAGGTACTGGAAGACATCTACCGAAGCATGTTAGGTAAGAGGAGCTTCTTCACAACAGAAGATGGAGAAATTGGCTCTGGTCCGCTATTGATGAGAGTCGGAGACAGGATCGCTCATATCGCAGGCGTCGGAGTACCAATGTTATTGCGACCTCATGAGCCTGTGGATGGGATAGGGAACAGCTATTCTGTAGTAGGCCCTGTGTGTTTTTCTACAAGACATATGGGACGAGTGAAGATAGACTGGATTAAGAGAGAGACGATTGCATTGGTCTAAAGGTCTGGGTATTTCTAAGGAAATAACACATGTGATCCAGGAGAGACTATCACCCTTCTTATGAATACCGAGAGTCGTCTTTATCATACTGAAAACTAATGACAACGATTTTGAGACTCGAGTACGCACTTAGAAATTAAATATATAAGGTGAAACTGAAAAATGTGGGATTTTTGTGCAGTTTGTAACTGAACTAATAGAATACTGTACTACTTACCCCAAGTCTGAATACTCCATCGATAATAGCTGCGTACCAATTCTTGCCGGCATCACCATAAATAGTCTTCTCCACAGCAACTTCATATAGCAAAATCTCTAGTCATCTAGTTTTAGAAAGATTTAAGGGATGAAATAAAGCCAAAGATGGAGGCAAAGCTTTCGCCACAGGATTGGATGACGTTGGGAAATCAGTATCTGTATCCTTCCAGGTGCGATACGAGTAAATTTGCACACATGAGCGCGCTATAGCACGCGCGTATTGCATACAGCTCTCGTAGCTCTGAACCTAGAATAGACAGATACAATATCAATCAATGTATTAAACCTGTTATGAAGAACGTCATAATCACCACCGAGGTGATGCCAACAGTTGCCATGGCATAGAAACCCCGTCAGTGCATGCTTGTTTGCTCTCGTTGCGATTCCGGAAGGGGGTTTTGATTTTCGCTTCTTTGGTTTGGTTTTGATGACTTTCGTGTGGATTCGGGATTTTTACATCTTGATTTGTTCAGATGAGGGGTTTGCACCACTTGTATAACGTCGATCCCATGCCAACAGTTCTTGATATCTGTGTACTTAAACACCCGGTTCAAGAGACCAAAAATAACAAAGTTTCACGCCTGACCATCAGGTCAATCATTAGAAGGAATCTCACTTTTCTTAAGCTCGGTCTTGCAATTCATATAGAAAGGGGCTTCCGGAAATCATTCCCCGTCTATTCCCTGAATTATGCTTGAATTTCCATGGTTAGTTTTGTCCTCCTTACACATCGTCGTTTGATCTTCGTTGTCACTTTTTTCAAATCTTGATTTCGGTTGCTATTCTGACATATTCTGGTCAACAATACAATATGAATAGTCTGCCATCTTAAGTTCTCTCGTCAGCTTTCCATCAGCAAAGGCTCGAATCCGTACTAGTGCGTTAAGAAATTTCACGTACAATTTTATTTAGCTGTGTTGGTCAATACTTGCTTTCGACACGTCGAGTGTTTGAACTTTACTTGTTCTTAAGGTGCCTGTGATTACAGCGACTTTTTATATCCCAACTCTGCTCCGGAAAGTGGCTTCTCACCCGAAGGACCCTCAGCTCACCCCCTCCGATGGGGTCTGACTTAGGCATCTAGTAGCTATTTCACGTCATATCTTCAGTGTTGAAATCTTCCACTGAACCCCGGTAATATCACTCTCTGTATTTCCCCTCTTCCATCTCCACCTTCCACCACAATTACCTCAACACCAGCGCGCGATATATTTTCTCAAACTTGAATGATTGTCACATACGACCATAGACTGAAGAGAATTGGGCATCCCGTCCGCTCTGCCATACACAAGCTTCAGATCGGTGGATTAGTAGTTGGGTGGGTGACCACCAGCGAATCCCCACTGTTGTATGTTTTTTGACATTTTTAATATTTTTTGTAAAGTATTGGTAGGAGGGCGACGGCGGGGTGGGGTTCCTTTGTGCTCACTACCTACTTTTACTTGCAGTTGACGGGCGAAAAGGCACAAGATGAGTATTAGTTATCAAGAGTTATTCTTTTGCATACTTTATATGTAAGCTCGTTTGTCTTACCTTTCAATGCCTGAAGTTGTTACGAAAATTGGTGGAACTGAATGTCAACAGGGATATAGACTGGTAAAGTCATGATCGAGGCGACCATGTTATTGGGTAAGTAGCTAGACGAGAAAGAAAATCAAGAATCATCAAGTCGTTGCAATATTCAGACAACGATATCATGATAATCTAGACAGGTAGTCCGATTGTAATCCAGAATCAGTTCAGTCAGAGCTCATATTTTTCTGCCGAAACTTCGACATCGATGTTGGCTCGGGTATCTCCCCAAATGCCCCCTGTATGCGAGGTCATCAAGATAGCTTCGACGCCTACGAAGATTATTAATTGGCGGATGAGAAGATTGGATAAATCAAGATGAAATGGATGTATGACATATTGAACCGAGATGGGATGAATAGTAGAACATGAATACTGAACGAACACGACTGATTAACCTGGCATAACAAACAAACTCCCTGGCCGTTCGGCTTGACAACTATCTCACCTCATGTATCATAAGTTCAAGCTGTGGACCAATGGTTCGTGACATGGTTGGAGGATGCCGGGACATCAAAGTATGTATTTTCCAATAAAATATTATCTCTTGTGCTTTCCAGAGGCCATGATGACAGTGCACAGCGGACTCTCACTTGATTATCTCCTGCATCTCTGGAATATCGTACAATGATATTGGCAAAAAGGTGCTCAAGTACTGAAAATCGTTAACCGCTGAATGACTAGCTAGCGCTTGAACCGAAAACGTTCTCTCAGCACCAGGACGGATATAACGGCAGTGATCCACTTCCGAACCTCGGTAGTTTCCCCGCAAAAGTTACCCCAGAAATGAACATGATAAGACTCTCTAAACATCATTTCTCATTTACAAATCTGTATCATAACTTCACGACCCTTTTCTTGTGCGATCGAAATCACAGTCATAATTGTCACTTGTTTTGAATCATCTATAATCTCAAAATGGTTATCAAGCGCAATGAGCCATGTTACGTCCTAGGTGTCGGCATGACCAAATTCATCAAGCCAAGGGGTAAAGTCGATTACACTGAGCTTGGTTTCGAAGCTGGTATCAAGGCTATGCTTGATGCACAAATCAATTACGATGACGTCGATCAAGGAGTGGCATGTTATTGCTATGGAGATTCGACCTGCGGACAACGTGTCTTTTATCAATTCGGAATGACCCAGATCCCCATCTACAATGTAAACAACAATTGCTCAACAGGCTCAACAGGATTGGCTTTGGCGAGAAATGTCATCAGTCATGGAGGTGCGGATTGTATATTGGTTGTTGGGTTCGAAAAGATGAATCCGGGTTCGCTGCAGAGTTTCTGGAATGATCGTAGTAATCCAACTGGCACATCTGGTGAAATGATGCGTGCCACTAGAGGTGTTACAAATGCACCTGGGGCTGCGCAAATGTTTGGTAATGCAGGTAGGGAATATATGGAAAAGTTTGTCTATCACCACTCGATCTTCAACGGCGTAGCAAAAAGCTAACTTTTTCATCGCAAATAGATACGGTGCCAAAAATGAAGATTTCGCCGAGATTGCGAGAGTGAACCATGAGCATTCGCAACGAAACCCATACTCTCAATTCCAAGATGTGTATACTCTAGAGCAAGTCATGAAAGCTCCCATGATTCATGAGCCACTCACAAAATTGCAATGCTGTCCTACATCAGATGGAGGGGCCGCAGCTGTTCTAGTTTCACAAGATTTCCTCGATGCGCGCCCACACCTCAAAGAACAAGCAGTATTGATTGCAGGTCAATGTATGGCTACTGATGCTCCATCGCTATTCTCCAAATCCGCAATTGACCTTATGGGGTTCGAGATGACAAAGTTTGCAGCAAAGACTGCTATGGAGGAAGCAAAGGTCACACCTGCAGATATCAAGGTCTGCGAGTTGCATGATTGTTTCTCGGCAAATGAGATGATCGTTATCGACTCTATGGGTCTTTCTCCGCCAGGAAAAGCTCATGAGATGGTGAGAGCTGGAGATATTACATATGGCGGCAAGATGGTCATCAACCCCTCCGGCGGATTGATCTCAAAGGGCCACCCACTCGGAGCCTCAGGAATTGCACAGTGCGCTGAGCTTGTCTGGCATCTTCGTGGATGGGCAAACAATCGATTGGTTGATGATACAAGAGTAGCTCTACAACACAATCTTGGATTAGGCGGGGCTGTTGTAGTGACTGTCTACAAACGAGCCGATGGAAAGACAAATGCTCCTGTTGATTCCGCCGAAGTTGGAAAGAAAAACAAGTTGGGTTATAACCCAGCTGTGGAGGCAAAAGGATTCACAGAACAGCAAGCTACTAGTGTGAGGAGTAAGACGAAGTCTAGTGCTTGGGCTTTGGGTGACGTGGAGAAGAAGGTGGAAGCGAGGTTTTGATCTGCGTTCACATGTTTTTTTGATTATTTAATACCCTTGTTGCCATTATAGCTCATCATATCAGTTCCCAGTATTAGTCAACCATATCATGGGCTGTGATAATCTTCCTCATCCATTAATTGTAATAAGGTCGTAGTTCACTGGCGGAAATTGCTCTCCCCAACGCCCTTCATTCGTGGCACAGTCGAGATAGTCGACGTCACATATTGTTGTCACCAAACTTTTCATCAGATAGATATCGCCGTTCATGTAAGTGTATCTCCACCATCATACTTACTTTCATCATCCATCTGCTTCGCTATTCCAGAATCTACGGAGCATTTTTCAGTATTAGGAATACTACAGAGAACATGACATAAAGCCTTAAACAACATACCTCCTTCTCGCTCACCCTTCTAGATCTGCAAAAATTTCTCTTTTTTTTGATAAGGAGGTCAATTCCCCGTCACATCTATTTTATAGCCAGAAAATAGAATTTCAATGGGGATATCAAATACGAGAATGAGCTTTTCAAGCTGTACATCGAGGCATTTCCACCTTCGTTCTTAGCAGTGAATAATTTTTGATAAATTCAATCGCAGACTATAAGTAGCAGGTATTTTGTCTTGCCATGGATCTTTATAATTTTTTGGGGAGTATATCGCTGTAACAGGTTCCTGAATATTGAAAACGATGCTAAAAGAAAACTCAATGCTGTATCTTACTCCTGGTGTAACAAAGTGTTGCTATCCTGATCTTTTCCCTCAATTCTAAGATAATAAGAGTCTTCTGAGTAGACATATGATCATGTTTATCACCATGAATCTGCCTATTGTCATGGACTACCGTTCTCACTGTCAATGATCCATCCTTTCTTATTATGCTTGCCAAAATCCTATAGTCAACATTTTATCATCCTATTACTCAATACCAGAGTCTAGCGAGTGATGTACACGCTAACATCTAGATCAGACTATCTATCTTTTCTCCAACACCAACGAAAAGTCTATAGGCCGCATTTGTTGCCAGACACAGTCCTCCGTCTCTTCCAATGTTTGTTATTTCTTTTCCTATGCGAAAAAGATGTAAGCTGTGATAGGGGTGTTTATATAGCACGAGTTTCTACCTACAATTCTGTGTTTAAGTTCTTTGAAATTAATTGTATAAATGCTGCAGATGATTAAATGAAACTTTAGGGTGCGCACAAGAATGCTTCGATGCAGAGAACATAGAAAAGTATGCAGAAAGTATCCAGCCAGGTTTGAGTTTCTCAACTGTTATGTTCTGGTATGGTGCGAGTATTTGATATGTGGATTGAAGGGGTTTGATATCATCGGATCCATCGGATGTTGATATAGGAGAATAAATATCAATGGCGCTAGCTTGCTGTAAGATCCCTTTATTACCATTATCGTGCTCTGTTCACTGCCTCCCGGGTCTGGAGATGTAAGTAATTTTCTCTTAAAAAAATCGTGACGCATTTTACGTGGTGATATGACTGAACTACCCGTTCCCTCCGTCCACGAGCCTGTCTCTTTGCAAATCTAGTAATTTTGATATTATAGAAGTTATCGGGAAAGTTAGCGGGTTTTATAGTCTAACATTTTGTGCGTTTGGAATGCAAAACCGTGGAGTCAATACTAGTCGCTCAATGATCAAAAAGGGACATTTTACACTCAGATCGATAGGCACTTCGGCTACTGGTATTCCAAATCATAAAAGAAATGGGTATTGTATAAATAATCCATGGGAGCCCATTCTGACACTCTATTATTCTCATAGGGTGGTCATTTTTACACAGCACAGGGAAAACAAACAAAATTCTCTTTCCTTTCGATCCCTCGATCTGAAACCTAGCTTTTCATGTTCAAAAATTTAGTATCTCTGTTGATTGTTGTCAAACTCACCAAGATTCTTATCATTACCACATCTAATAAACATTCCACCTCACTCTCTGCTATCAAAACTTTCTACTACTAAGATGCAGCTTTGTTGTTATATCCCTCCACTCTGATACCGCTCACAAAAAATCTATTCGGAGATTGCCATTCACTGAGAGGAGGTTGTATTCCTAAAGCAGATAGGTGGACTTCAAACGCAAAGTTGATTGTTTTGAGTAACATGAATGGATCGTTTTATAGCCATGTCTCTATTGTTTCTGATTTCGCTGAATTACTCAGCCATTGGGGTTGGGTTGTAAAATTGTATTGTTTTTAATATTAGGTATTATTTTATTATGGGGTAAATCGTGAGGTGATAGTTGATACATTTATTAATGATTTTATCCAAAGTTTTGAAGGACTACTTAGGAGCACTCCTTGTAGACTTCGCACAACCTACGTACTTACTTTCGCCTACTAAACTTGCACACTACACATTTTGAAGCGCTTTTTTATTTAAAACTCAGTGGCTTTGAGACTTTCGTCTTAGCTCCATAATATCTGTTACCCCTGAAAAGAATCATCGATCGCAGTTGAGAATTATTGCCGTTAAGCGAACCAGTCTATGAACATGCTAAATTTTTCACTATCGCGGAAGTGCACTTTCACTGTAATTGAAAATTCTCACCTTTTGTCCAGTCGCCATTCTTCCATTTCACCCTTCTTTTCATGTTTTTGGAAACCAAAGAAGAAAAGAAGGGGCGATCTTTCTAGAGTGTCACCGTGCGGATTTCCACTACTCTGCACCTCAGAGACGATTCGATTCAAGTAATTGATTTTGGGTTTCGACCATTGAGAGCCACCAGCTCTTTATAACAAGATGGCGATAAGCCGGACGGAAAGAGGTGACGATTTCAGTCAATGCTACTTTACCGCAAGTGTGCAACGAATGCACCGATACTGTGCATATATGATCACTGGATTTGCTCATTCTAAATTAGTGACCCTGCATAGGAATGCGGCAGCAATTGAGGGTCTCGTCAGATTCTCAAAAAAGTCATCTGTGGATTGCCCCAGGCTAGGACGTGTGCGTTGTAATTACATATCAAGAAAGGAGAACATGGGACACTCTCAAACTATTCATGAATTATTCTTCAGATATCGTCAACTGCAATATTGGTTTTCATTTCAATATATTACGATCAATTTCCATGGGAAAAGTTGTTTATCGTCAATAAAGATGCAAGTGTTGATGCCGCAGCCGATATACCGCGTACGAAGTGACAGACAGAGACAAATGATTTTGACTCGGCATCCATATGATTATTCGTTTTGAAAATCATGGTTTATGAGATTTTAAACCTCGAGCATCTGTCAAGGTATTGGGGCGTTGCCGTGCAAAGGTTGATTTGTCAGATTATGGAAATTGGAGAACCTTTTATAGTGGAATCTTGAAATCGGGTCAATGATATTGACTTGCCATATTCACCACTCCCCACCCGCGCTGAGATCACATTTATTTATGATATATCGTAAATCCCCACTGTCGCAGTAGTGTGAGTTACATGTGGCAAAATATATTTACTAACTTGATGGTATCTCAATCCACCCAAAAGAAAAAACGCCTTTGCCCCGCGCAAACCCCACTATTTCGAATCATGAACCCAGAGATTCTACCTAAACGCTACACATCTTATCATAAATCATAAACATCAAAGGAATAGAGTTTCGATCCTCTCATCTAAATCAAGAAATCACAACAGCTTCGCCCATTCTTTCCATCCCCTTCAACCTCTCCCAAGTCCCCCGACTCCAAATCGTATGCTTATGCTCTTTCCCCAGCACTCTCACTTGTACCTCCCAAGCCCTCTCATGCCACTCAATCGCCTTCTTCCTGCACTCCAGATCCCCACTATGCAAGCCCATCTCCTCCCACACTATCCCAATATCATTCATCGTCCACAATGTATCCGGATTATCGTTTCCCAGTACTCGAACTCTTCTCACATACATATCCTCCATAATTTCCAACGCTTCTTTGAATTTTCCTTGCGCTTTCAATACTTTCGAGATATCTGATCGCGTTCGTATTGGATGGGGATGGTCTTCTCCCATTAGCGTGATTTGGCCGGCGAGAGCAAGTTGATGGAGAGCGAGTGCTTCGGGATAGCGACCTTGGAAGCGATAACAGCGAGCGAGGGTATTAAGGGTCCATATTATCTGCAAGTCGGTCTCGGGAAGAGATCGACGTAGAATACTGAGGGCACGGAGATGATATTGTTCAGACTCCGAGTATCTCTCAAGATGCCGTGTTTCTCGACCCAATTCGTTTAATGTCAATGCAAGATCGAGATGATCAGGAGGAAGATACTTTTCCTGGATTATCAAAGCTTTTAACTGCGTGTGCAAAGCGAGATCAGTAAGATTCTTTTGGTCGTACATTATTCCAAGACTATTGAGAAGCCAGGTCGTGCGGACAGATTCCGGGAATGGATCTCCTCGGGGTCCTTGTGCAATCGCCTTTTCGAACATATCAATTGCTTGGTCAACTTTTCCTGCCATTGTGAAAGCCCTTGCTAGATCCCGGACAATCAGATCGCGCTCAAAATTTGAGATAGATTCTGCTTGGTCGAGGTCCAGTTGGTCCAGTTCAATTAATGCTCGTTGTATATCAGCTAAATCCTCCGCAGCAAAAGTAGTGGATGAGCTTTCTTTGCGATGTTTCCAATCATTCACCTGTTTCTGATACTTTGCTATACGTTGTAACGGAAACGACAGCCTGTTTGAAAGGAGAAATCGCAGGATCCATGTCGATCGTGCTAAAGACGAATCCGCAAACGTGTTGTATTTTTGGCATAAATTCTCTTCAAATGATGCTGACGATAGATGGTGACACCAGTTTTCTGTAGAGTAACTCGCTAGTGGATATTGAAGATCATCAACTAGGGTATTATGTATAACATTTGGTAGTGAGAGGCTAGCTAGTAATACTTCGGCAATAGTCTGGTGTGTGTAAGACTCAGTCATGAGAAATTGTGTTGCTTTCGCCGACATGGAGTCGAAGCCATGAGACTTCCATAGGAACTCACGGACCGATGTATGAACAGGGTGGAATGTATCCTTCTCTGGTCGATACTCAATCAAAGGAGCGCATAGATCGAGCACGGCATCTTTAAAAGGCCGTTGATCTTCTATAAATACCTCCTTTGTCTCATCCCAAGACAGAGCACGTTGGAGCTCTTTCCAAGATAGTGGTCTTGTTGTACAACAAACCCACAAAAGAATTCTACGAGCAAGATCCCGTCTTCGAATACTTTGGGATCCTAATCTCTCGAGTATCTGACCATAAAATCCGTTGAGTCCTTCGGGTATCCTTTCAATAGCATCCAAAACACTCTGTGAATCAATTGCTTCGGCTAGGCTTTGGATTCCCAGGGCAGCATATAAAAACATGCCACCAGAAGCATTCGAAAGTTTCGAGAATGCCTGGTCTTGTGCCCCTGTACCTTTCCCAGGTAAATTATCCAACGATTTCGTTAAAAAGTTGTCGATATCTGGCTGTACCAAAGAAGGTTCCAGCTCTATCACTGCACACGACACTTTCTCCAGCTGAAATGCAATAATAGGAAGATTGCGAGAAAAAATAGCTAGTCGAACAGTGTGGGAGCTTCTTGCGATATCCGCAAACGTTTTTGTAAGATCACCTGGATCAATGCATTCATCCACTCCATCAATGATAATGTAACAATATGGAAAATCTTGTACCACGTGTTTGATGACGGAGATGATATCGTCTGCAGTTGATAAATGCTGTCTTCCATACTTCCTCGCTCGTTCATACGCTTCGTTGACTCTGCTTGGAAAGTCATGCAGTGGTACAATCAACTGTGCTAAAATCGATCCGAGGATCTCTAACGTCGATCTTTTTCTAGCGTCCCCGGAATCGCAGTAAAAGTAAGCCATGGAGGCTATTTCATTCTCCGATCCTTCTGAACTTTTCTCTGACTTAAATTGAAGGTGCTCAATGGCAGTAGTACTCAGCACGGTTTTGCCTGATCCCGGCCGGCCATGAATCCACAATATCGAGCGGTCAGTCGAAGGTTCGGTGCAGCGTCTCCAGCTTCGGAATCTTGGATCGTCTTGCAGCCACATTCCGGTTCCTGGTGAACGTCTCTTCAGAGCTCGGTAATAATCTTCTCTAGAGTCAACTTGGGTTAACCATTTTAATATTTCATTTTTGGTGTCTATATGAGCTCGTTAGCGGATTACCATAGGAAGTATAGGAAGTCCAATGATAGCTATGTATGGGTCAATGACTCAACTCACGATATGCATCTCGACCATCTACTCTGTTAGCAAGGTCTACATTGTCTAAAGCAATAGTTCCAACTAATTCTTGGATTTTCTTAGTCGAGACATCCATCCTCTCTCGATGCGCAAGAGTAATTTCATCATTCAAAACCCGAGTATATCTTTCGATATGTTCCAAATTGTCTTTGAACTCTGCGTCGAAAGACTTATTCAAGTTCTTGAAAAAGACCTTCAATGCTAACACTTTGTCAGAACCGGGTAGAAGAAATCAAGGAGCAATTTACTAACAGCTAACAGAAACCGACTTTCGTATTTTCTCCAGAAACAGATAAATTTCATCATATAAATCCGACAACGCAGTTCTTACACGGACTTCCGTTGCGAACATTTTTTCATACTGACTCGATATGGAAAGGATGTCACTAAGCTTCAACATGGCATTATCGATGTAATAAAAATAAGTAGCCGAAGTCTGAGCAACCATCAAAACAGCTTTCAAAGAACCCCACACTAAAGAGGCACTACTTGTCCCCTGAACCATCATATCTACTATAGGAGAAAACCTCGTTAAAAAGTCTATTACCGGCTCAATTGTCTTCCCGACTTTCCGGTACCGAGACGATGCGAACCTGTGGCGCTCAAGTACTCGTACTTCTCGCCATACATCGTCGATGTTTATTGGCGCTTGGGATATTATCATTGATGAACTAATAGTTTCGTTTTCTGTCGCAAGGCTCGCCGTGCCAAATGAAGGCGTCCTTATCTTCACGTCTTCTTGCCATTGGGGATTTGGATAGTCAGCTGACCTGTAAGACGGGACCCGGCTTGGTTTTTCCACGTTTTCCGCTTGAGATTTTCGGAAAGGAGACATTGTTGTGAAGTGTGTTACAAAGTTTGAAAATCGATGCAGTAATGTTTCCAATTGCCTGGTATCATCTCTTCTTTATCAACCCCCTCATCGAGTGTACTTCGATACCACGAGTTGAGCACTGCCCTGGTGGCATGCCTTCATTCCATAGGGCGAACAGTTCGGGCTGAGCGATAAGACATATGACTAGTCACACAACGCCGAGGATGCATGGGTACATGTGAGGGATTCCACATTGGGTCACAGCCCCCGAGAACCAAGTAAACCAAGTAAATGATCAGCTGGAGCATTCTCTACACATTGAGCCTCATCATTGAAATATACCTTGCAGCCTGGTCGAGGCACATTAACAGATTCCGCGTACGGAATACTTCAGCAAGTTTATTTTTATCTTTACATAATCTGCCCTCTTTTTCGCACAAGTGTAATCAAAATCGTGTTTTTCCAATGAGTCGAAATTCAGACGATGTTTTGTGTCGCGTATGCACCGTCTCCGGTGATCGAAAAGAATGTACTGTTGCCATTGAGAGCATTGTTCACAAGTTCTTCGGTCAAAATGCGAAAGTGATTCGAAAGAAGTCTGCTGTCAGTATTTGTCATAAAATGCTCGATTCAATCGTAAATTTAACGTTTCACAATTAGTCCGGAGCGCAGAATTATGACTATGAAGTCCAGCTACCAGGCAGCGAGGCGCCCAAAGCTGAGGAATTACAGGTATTTTAGCACGATGTAGGTACTTTGCATACCACTGACAACCACAGAAAGTACATAATCTCTGTCGTATCAAGGTTCAAGCTTTATTGCGAGAAATCGATCCTCTACCAAAGTCAGACAAAGGAAAAGGGATAGTGCAACCTCTAAGTTCTGATTCAGACAGAATTTCCCAACCATCTGCAACAAAAGATAGACCAGATACTATTCGTATCAAGAAGATACCTGCAACATACTCGGGTGAAATTGTTGAAATGATTGTTCAGGGGGAATTCGGCAGCAAACCCAAGATACATAGTCTCGCACTTCATGATAGAGAACATCTTTGTGCTACCGTCACATTTCCAGAAGAAGAGTATGGGTTTCCAACAAAACAATTACAAAAAGTGACCATAGCACGCCAATCACGTTCAGATGCACCGGAGATACAATATGATGCGGATTTCCTGAACTTCACAACTTTGTATAATGCCAGTCCTGAGAGGTTGCAAGCTGATGTGGAGTATGTATATATATCATTCACTAGACTCGTTCTCATGACTGACGTGAACTGTAGTATCGTAGCTGTGGTGGGTCTTGGAACGCACGCATTTGGGACTTTCCGTTCCACAACTCCTGGTAGTCATGAAATGTGGTTGAGAGATTTCCTTCCAAAAGATATCCCAAATACTCGCATCCTGTTGTATGGATATCCTTCCACTGTATCCGGAGGTCAATCCATGGAAAAGGTCGAAGATATAGCAAGTACCTTCTTGAATAGATTGACACTACTTCGCAGAAACACCTCGGTAGGTGGCATACCTCTTTCTACCAAGCCGCTACGGACTGTTGCTGACACGAGTTATAGACACGAAATCGTCCCATAATCTTTATTGGACAAAGTCTTGGGGGTCTGATAGTTCAAGAAGTAAGTTTTGTCTCGAGTTCCAGGTATAGATGCTGATCTCACGCTGTTTAGTCACTTCTTAGAGCTGCAGATAGTCGTGATCCATACGAGCGGGAGATTTTTGACTTCTGGCACGGACTTGTCGGCTTTGGTATCCCAATAGCAGGTCTAAACAATCCTTCTCTGATTGAAGCTGTAAAATTACAGCCAAACAAAGTTTTGATCGGCCAATTATGTCGTGATCGTGAGAACGGGACGCCATCTGCTTATCTCATCGAGTTAAAACACAGATTTGAGAGTTGCTGCAAGCAGAAAGAAAAATTCTCTTCCCATGCACCAGAAGTATTATATTTTTGGGAGAGGCATTATTCCCAGCCTAGAACAGTAAGACTTTCTTAGATCGTAAATCCTCGGGTAGCTAACAGCAAAAACAGCGAAACGGCATTGTGGGCGAGAAGATTCTCATGGTGGAAGATAGTGCTACGCCAGGTGCGAGAAACCTACCTCTAAACTCCGACCATTCTGGCATGGTAAAATATAGCAGTAGGTCTGATCTATTTTATGAGGATGTTTCAAGCAATATAGAAGGTATGGTCTCTAGCTTGGCAGAGCGGAGAGATGTCGTCCAATATACCTCAGGCAATGAATCCTTCCAAAGAAGAGGGGATAAAATTATCAATGGACCATCGGCTCCAAAGAGAAGAGGCACCTTTCTTTCCGAAGACGAGTTGGAGACAACGTTAGCTTAGTAAATGATGAGAAATTATATATATATAAGGGAGACTCAATTTATGAAGTGATCTTCAACAAGTGGAACAATAATGTACAAAAGGCTTTTGAACCCAGAAAATATATACACGGTGCACTAAATGCTACCAATCTCGTAACCTTCGTTTCGTTGATCATAAAAAATTATGCATTATTCATCGTTATTAATCCACGCCGTATTCTCTGGTGTTATGACGACCCTGGCGCATGAATTTCAAGCCCTTGTTATGTTCTTTCATACGTCGATGGTATATTTTTCTTGCGTCTTCAAGTTGTTTAGTAAAAATTTCCCTTTCTATAAAAAAAAATTTCAGCAATTGTCACAAAAATTGTTACTGAGTCACAATTTACCTTCATCATTTGAGAAAGAGACTTCGAGCCAGCTGAGTTCTTTCGGGTTTTGAGGAAATTTCAAAGGTCCGATTTGAAGGTCGCAACGAACAGGGTGAAGCACAAAGCAGCGAGGAAACTTGTCATCAGGCTTGCATTTTTTGCGATCAAGCTTCGATTGCTCTGCAACTACGATTGTTTTAGTAATCAATTAAGATAGGATATAGCTTGCTTACATTTAAATGCCAAGATCTGCCCTCGTTGAATCTTCCCATCTCGCGACGACGATTCAACAAACATAATGATAAGTGGAGGAACGGGCATTTCTATTTTTAAGCCACTGCCTTCGTCAATAGTAGTCAGATGTGAACCAGGAATAGCTTGTTGTGCCTTCAGTGTGGCCATTGAAGCAAAGGTAGTCCCGCTCATGTTCGAGAGGGATGTCGATGCTCTTCGAAGCGAAGAGCCTGCACCTGGTTGAGTAGAATCATGCCCGCTGCTAAAATCTTTGAGCCAAATTTGTAGTCTTCCAGTGATTGCATTCTTGCTTTCAAATTGATACTTTTCAAGGGTCCGAAGTTTGATGCCCCGTTGACTGTACAAGAATCAGCAATTATTGATGTTTGGAAAATACCAAAAGCACGAACAAGTCTACTAAAACCTTAAATCCTGTCAGAGCCCTTTGGAACTCCTTCAAACTTGTTGAGCTTTGAAAGAACAAACGGCCATTGGTGATATCGGGTCTTCCGTGTAGTTTTCTCTCTAGGATTAAATCACACATATAAATTCCGGGGGTAAGATAATTAGGGTGAATAGAAGCTCTTCGTAAATCTCTATTATGAAGGAATTAGAGATCATCACAACATCAGCAGTTTGATTGTGCAGACTTACAATTCTCTGAACGCCTGGAGGGTGTTAGGCCAGAGACGTGGTTCCTCGTCCAAATCCAGAGTCAATGCACCTTCTGCATCTATTCGAATTTTAATTACATGGCCAGCTTGCTCGCCGCTGAGTTGACTAATAAATGTCAGTATTCGTACATGACTATACTGTGGAATTACCGATCGTGTTACCATTTGAAAATAACTCCGTATTCATCGATGCTCATGGACTGCGTCGACCCAGTTGAGACACTTTCATGCCTATCTTGCACTAGGGGAGGAGTTTGAGGAGTTGATGGCGTCGATTGCTGCGAGTTCTTCGTCTTGGTCCTTTCTTGAACAGCATCAGGATTGAGGTATTCTGTTTCTAGTTCAGTAAGAATGCCAAAGAGTAGCTGTGGATTGTCAGCTTTAGGTGAGTCAAAGAGTTGCAGCTACTCACGATCTCCAGCTCCGTTATGTAATGATGTAAAGTGAAACCCGTATCAATGATACATAGATCTTGAGGATGTGTGAAATGTGTGGCAAATTGGCGATACTCCCGAGAGTCTCGAGCAGACATCAAGTAGTGCGAGCAAATCATAAGATGTATCCACCTATCAGAAGGTTCACAGGACTCTTCCTGTGCGATTTGTAGATTCTCAGTGAAACATTGAATGAAAGCTTCCCAAGATTTAGCCGAAACTTTGCAAAGTTTGTCACCAGAAATATGACTCAAGTATTCTGCATCGTTCAATTTGTTCCACTTAAATTGGTAGTTATAGCCATCCAGTCGGCTTACTTCGCGTCCCTGTCTCCCACATCTTTGTATCTCGGTTTCGACGTAGCCCTCAATCTTTCGCGATCTCTTCTTTCCCCATTTTAGAGGAATGGCAGCTTCGACATTTGTATTTCTGTGAAAGAGTCAATATGTGCTAGATTCATCGGCTGGCAGCAAGACACTTACGGGTCGAAAGTGCAGAGCAATACTCTCAATTTGTGATTTTCGATGGCTATGGCATCCGCAACTGAATTCAGCAATTCTGACTTCCAGAGAAAGGCCTTTTTAGCAACTTCATAATTTTTCGCATCCTCTTCTTCTACCATCTGCAATGTAACTTGGAGATTCCCATGAACGCTGATCAAGATTCTGATAAGGTCCCCAGACGAACGAGGATCGCCATTCTGGCCCGAGGTACCCTGAGCTTCGAGAAAACGGGCGTGGATTGTCGATAGATACTTTACAAGTTCGTCAAGTTCTTCCTCCAAACTGTTGTCTGACTTCGAAACGTGAGAATCTATCGAAAATTAGAAATCCGGTAACGAATTGAATATAAATGTTGCTTACGAGGCAGAGAGATACGAGTGCGATGGTGAAGCTTATCAGCAAAGGCCCGCATTTGATCAAAAAATTCCATCATCATAACCTTGTCCCTTATCAAGAGATTTCCACAATATCGAGCGCAATAGTATCATGTTAAAAGCAAAGAGAGCGATAGAGACAGCAACAATTTGAAAAGAAAGTTGTAAAAAACCAGTACTTGTTTCTCTCAGAATTTAGTGTGTAGCCCTGTTTAAAATGCTAGCTGCCTACGATTAGCTATTGTATTTCCACCATCCGCTTATCGCACCGCTGTAGTTCAATGGAATGACAACCCGGACTATTTTTTAGCGGCTTAACACATGAGAATACAAGCAAATCCTCTCCGTTCCTTATTTATCTTTCTGTCAGATGAATACTCTACGCCTAAGCCCTGTGAAGGTATCGTTCCTTTGTGCAACTAGAGAAAACGAGGAGCGCGGGGGCGCAGCCAATAGTCTTGGTTAAATAAACCCCCTGCTACCCTCGTGAGTGTGACCCAATCTCACTCATTTTGCAAACTTGGCTTCTTGTCCTAGTCTCAATCCGACAAGATATCAAGAATGAGGCTGTCACACAAAATATTTCACCGACGCTCTTACGGGTGCGGGAGAGGCCTAGTTCAAATACTTCAAAACCGTCATGGCCCAGCCAACCTCTCCTTCATATTTGAAGTCCTCAACATCTCGATGTAGCCAATTGCTATTCATATGCGTATGAATTGCGCTTCATCAGAAATCGAAACTTTGAATTGATCAAATCTATGATGGGAAATCCGGCGCAACCGCCATCACCAACAATGTCGGTACCCTCGGAAGGTTTACATCAAGACCGGAGCAACATAAGTCTTGGTGGCCTCAGTGTTGATGATTTGGTATACTTGGACGAGCAGGAAGCTATTGGTAACTCTTCGAAGGAATTCACTAAATCTCCAGAGGACAAAGATTTGTTAAGTCGTTTCCAAGTTGCGTGTATCATAATAAATCGGATGATGGGTATGTCACCTTTCAATAAACCAACTTGCCTCTGCAGCGATCATTACTCACACATGTCCAGGGACGGGAATATTCGAGTCGCCAACCACTATTATACAACAAGATCGGAATATCGGGGCGAGTCTCGTTCTCTGGACCTTGGGCTTCATAGCCACCATGGCCGGCACTTTGATGTACGTCGAGTATGGCCTTACGATTCCACGGCACAGGATGGCTGGCGAAATTCAAGCTGTTCCAAGAAGTGGTGGTGAACTTAATTACCTCAAATTCCTCACGAAACATCCTCAATACATGGCGATCTGTATGTTTGGCTTCATATTCGTAGTCGTCGGAAATTCTGCCGCCAATTGCGTTTCGTTTGCCGTCCATTGCCTTGCAGCAGCAGGAATAAATGATCCACCAAAAGGCGCAGTGCAAGGAATCGCACTTGGTACTGCCTGGCTCGTTACTTTGTTGCATGCATTAGGCAGGATGTTTGGTGTTCACTTGAACAGTGCTTTTGCTGTGACAAAGGTCTCAATGCTCATTATGATGATTATACTGGGCTTTATGGTACTCAACAATCATACTGGACACTTCCATCGCAACCCACTATCATACAGTAACCTCGACACAACTACCAGTTTCAAAGAACTAGGGAAAGGCGACCATGCTCGTGGGTTTGCAGCCGCATACCTCAACATTATATTCACTTGCGGTGGGTGGAACCAAGCAAACTATGTAGGTACCGTGTCGGCCAACCTTCCTGGTTTAACTAACATTACTTTAGGTCCTCGGTGAAATAAAAAAGCCAACCACTAGGTTTCGAGGCATATCTCTATGGACCGTTGGAACAATGTGTCTGTTGTATTTGTTAACTAACATATCATATGTTTGTATGAATCTTGAGGGATTCATGAAATCAGGCTGACAACAACTCTAGATGATAGTAGTAGTAGTCCCGCAGGATGGAAATTTTCCAGATGGTGAATCTGTGGCTGAACAATTCTTCAAGCGAACCATTGGCCAAGCTTGGAATGAAGGGCGAGCAAGTCAATTGATGAATGCATGTCTCGCTGTCTCAAGCTTAGGCAACGTCATTGTCACTACTTTTACCGCTGCTCGTGTCAAACAGGAGATTGCGAAAGAAGGGATACTTCCATTCTCTTTGGTATTTGCGAGGAATGTTAACATTATTGAATGGACAACTAAGAGATTGAAGCGATCGGAGCAAGTCCGAGAGCCAGTTGAGCATCCTCCACAGGGAGGAGTCACAACCACGCCAGAACGGGCCGAGATCGAGCCAATTCCATTTCCAGCTCTCGTACTTCACTGCGCATTCTCCACAATTCTGATTCTTGCATCAATTCGGATCCCTAAGTCCAGGGATGCCTACCCATTACTTGTTGGTAGGTGAACTCTCGAATCTCGCTTTTGTTCTCCACCTTCCCAATATTTATTGACAGCTGCTGGCAGAAATCTACACATACCCAATTGATGCAATGGTCGCCATATGTCTCAGTTTTGGCATGATATGGATGCGATCAAGAGAGACAGATGAATGGAACACATACTCCACAACAAATAGATGGTTCAGTCTCATAACTGCAATTATTGTCTTCGTCGCCAATGCATTTCCAGTGGCCGCGTTGTGGATTCCCGAATCGTCTTCTGGAAGTTCCATACCTTGGTACATTGTTCCCACAATCGGATGGACACTCGTTCTAGCTGGTTTCATTTATTACGTGGTCTTTCGTTTTGCAGTCCCTTTGTTTTTGGGTGGTGCTGTATTGGAAGTGAAGAGAGATCCTGTTATTGGTATTGACAATGAAGGACATTTCGTACAACATGGTGAGATGGTCTATCAGAAATGGTCAGTGCCTGAAGATGAAGATATACCTTATCCGAATGGATACAGGAACGAGGTTGAACTTAAGCAACTCCATCAATATGAGCGGAGGGTGTAATACTTGATAGGAGAGTTCCTCAGAAGGATTCCATAGACATATTCAATGAGGATTAACATTCTAGATGCTTAATTGTACTATTATACCATTTAATCCCCTCTGCTTCATTTTCCGGTTTACACAGAGTGTATCAGACTTTTCTCTCGAAATCTAATCTTTGTCTAGTTCAATTAGAATTTTCTCCCAAAGTCTCTCCCCTTTTTCTTTGGAATTTCTCCCCCGCCATCTCTATTTAATGAAGCTATTTCATCACAAAGTAGGAAGTCTTTGGCAAAAAACGAAACTGCAAAGTCTTGAAACCGTCAAAGATACAATGCAGGTACAACTGAAATGTGAAACAAGCGCTGAAGTGGAACATCAATTAGTGGATCGACGATGAAATAAGGTTTAGCTCGGATCGATTTAGGGTGGCATTAGCTTCATTTCCCTACGTCCCACCGCTATTTATCGATTTTATACAATAGTCATTGTAGATCATTGTCAAGTCTCACGGTGTATGATGTTTGACGCATCTTCTTATGATATTTCCCTACCTTTTTGCAAGCTCTTTTGTTTGTATGATATGCATATCTCTATGGGACGTCTTCTGTAACTTTTCTCGAACATCTATTAGTAATCAATTGTCAAATTCGAGTTCGAAATACTGATTCTATGTGTCAACGGTAATGTAAGTGAAGGATCCCAACCTAGACAATCACAATTCATTTCCTGTCCGCAATGAAATCTCCGTAATCAAAGACGCATCAGAAATCTGAAAGGCTCGCAAAAGTCAATTTCAAGGTTGGAGGGTATCTATGTCTCTTGAAGACACTCATTCACTAGAATGGGCAAAGTTAGCGTAGCATGTACTGCAGAGCGCCCGCTAAGGCATTGAGTAAATCTAGGCCAATTTCAATAACGTAGGATCACTTAATCACAACAGAACTTCGGCCACTATTCTTCTACCTAAAAATCAACTTCGCATCCATCACAATAGACGCAATGATACTTCCATGACGACCGGAATACCTCACCGCCGGGCAAAAACTTTGATTCAGCAATAATGGCTACGGGAAAACATAAATTCGCGTTAACAAACACTATTTCCATGAAAGACCTTCTTGAAGTGAGCACACCAGCAATCGTACAATTTAGTTCCACGCGGTGACTAGGAGCTATGTGTTGAACAGACCAGACTTCGATCTTCCTTGACTTTTCACCAGTATCTTGAGAGCCTCAATCGCTGAGGAGTTTCCCGTTAGTTTCGCAAAGTTTAGTTCTACAAGTGTAGAAGTCGGATGATCGAGATCGACTAGTTCTGTAGATCTTCGTGATGCTATAATTTTGAGAGTGTTGACAAGCTTCTTCAGTTGTTGAGGCATGTTATAAATACCAGAGCGAGATCTCTCATTTTTCAAAAAGCATCAATCCTCACATTCAATCCACTACCAAGCTTAATATCTATCTTCATTCTTCGCTTCAAAAGCCAAAAATCGCAATCATGGTCTCCATCAAAGCTCTCGCCTTCTACCTTGCCACCATGGCCGTCGCCGTCTCAGCAGCTCCTGCCGCAGCGGTCAAATCTGTTACTACCGCCGATACCGTCATCGCCGACATCAACAGTATCGATGTTCAAGTCAATGTCTTGATCGGTGCCATCGCCGGCGTGAAGGAGAAAACTCTCGATTCCTCTACCGTAGACGTCGACTTCACAACCCTCCACCTCGCAAATCAGCAAGGAGTCACCGATGCAGCTGTCGAGACCCCAGCAAGTTCAGAGGATTCCAGCCGTGTCGTAGCCACCATCGAGACCACTTTGTCTATTGACATCCCCGACGCTATCACCGCTTTGGAAGCCAAGAAGGAATTCTTCACAAGTGATCAAAGAACAGTTGTTCTCGCGTGGTTGGTAGTCTTACAGAGTGACTACAATACTTTCGGTGAACTCTTGATTGAGAGAACCTCCGAGGATGTCATCCCCAGAGCTGAAGCGGCCGCTAAGCTTATCGGTGATGCGATCTCTGCCGGTATCGCTTATTACTCTTCTTAAGCGCATGGATATTCAGTCCGTTTGGAGGACATTGTTTATGGGACTGTAGCAGGGGTTTTGCTTCTCATTAGAGCGTATCTGGGGTCAGCGATAATTTTTTGTGGAGATTGAAGTTTGTCACATGTTCTGTACACAAATGGAAATAGTTTATAATCTTGTATTAATATATATCAATTCAATACCTCAACACTTAAGTTTTTGCAATGCACACAGTTTTGATTTTTAATATGTGACGGCGTCTTATCCAGTTATTGAGACTTCCTGACAGTGTCAAGTGTTCCTTCACTATCACCTCAGCAATATTCTTATCCGAGATTGCATAACCTCCAGGACGTCCAGATTGTTGTGCATACACACAATCTTCAAACAAAACATTATTACTCCTAGATTTCGCTATGGTGATTGCTCATGTTCAGCTTTTATTCCTATTCTACTTATTTACACTTTGATACTTACTCATCCTGTCATTCAATCCTCTCGTACTTATCAAATTACACCATCTAGATAGCCATCACTTCTCCGTCACAAACTGGATGTAATTTCCCAACCACAGTCACCGTAATATAAATCTGAGTCTTTTTATATACTGGATCAGAAGATGAGATCAAATCTTACCAGCTTATAAATTGACCTGCACACCTTCACTTAACACTCTCGATAGTATATCCCTCCATAATCGTACGAATATTCATCTCTTAAGGACGTAGTCTTGTTTCTATAGTTCACTGTATACATTCTTTTCTGCATGCTCTTCACTCTCGTCTTTCAACCAACTTTCATGCACACACAAGGATATTCCAACCCACCAACCTACACAAAGCTATTATTGCTGTTATTCACTACATATATGCGTATAGAATCTCCAAAACTAACACTACTCTAATTATAATATACTCATCGTTGAATCTCAGATTTCTAATGTATATTAGTATTGTGATTCTTCTTCTTCCACCACCCACCACCATTTTCACTACCATTCTAATCATTTACTCAAACCTTTCTCGCTTGCCAAATCAATCTGTGAATGTTTCTGATCTAGCTGACGGTATTCTAATTCCTAATAGAGTTCCTGTTATCAAATTTTCTCAGATGCTTTAATCCCGCCTAATATCGAATCCATGGTGCGATCAATCAAGAAAGTAAGTTCTTTTATACTTCCTCTTCTATCTACTCAGCCCCTAACTTTTCCACCCATCTGCTCCTATCTATACTGCACCCCGCTCCGGAATAGTGTCTTTCTGGCCCATCTCTACTCCGCCCCATTTCTTCCTCCCATCTCCCATCTCCATCCCCAGCCCTCTTGTAAAAACAACACAAAATCCACACTGCTCAATCAAACTAATCTTATGGAAATATCTACTTGACACTCAGGCGATCTTGTCATTCCAATCAAATTCAAGGAAAAACTCAGGATTGATAATCCTTCCAACCTTCGAGTTTTTATGCGTTTTGGTCTCGGAGAGAAGATCTATGCGATATATTTGTTATCTCTTCTTGTTGTCATGAATAGTGACTATCTGTTCACTCTTATCACTGTTATTTCTACTTTTTCTTTCATCACCAAGAGCTCGATATCCTCATATATGACAATCACCCAAACTTCCAAGAGGCTATAAAGTCTCAGCGTACCAACCCACACCCCCTTCATTCGAAATTTCAATTTAAAAAGTATTCATAGATATTCCGGTCGTCCAAAGAATCTGAGATGACTGACGCATTCATTACAATCTCATGTTCTGACTACTGCAGTCAGCGAACATCTTTTACACTTCAAAGTTGTTCCAGCAACCCGGAGCACATCGCTTATACTCTCGCATGACACCTCCATAAGATCTCCAATCCAGCTTGGCATATCCTAAAGCACTCTTTTACTCCATGCATCCAGGACTCCAGCTTTTTCACCCGGAATATCGAATCGTCCTTACACTCCGTACTGCCCAATCCCATTCCATCCTCACCATCCCATACTCAACAGTATCAGCGGTCCTCTTTAGTTCTACACTCCACACTCCACCTTTCAATCTTGTATCCATCGAACCTCCCACAACTCATTCCAAAACCTATCTAAAACCACAAAATCTCCACCTCTCATTTCGAATCTCAGATACTCGGATATCCCAATATCGTCATGAGTATCAAGATGAAGATGAAGATGAAGATCGCATACCCATTGTTTACGCTTTGGAATTACTCTATATTCTTCTCAAGCAATGATGATACCATGTCGCTGTCACTATCACTATTACTATCACTCTTCTCCATCACCATCGCATTCCGATTCTACATCAAAAATATCATTACCAATCGCCATCATCCCCACCATAGCTACCTCATCATCACATCCACCAATTAATCCCCCCCTCCCCAACCTCCCAAACAAATCAAGATACCCCAAGAATCCTCTCCCAGTTCGCTTCCTCCCTTCCTCCCTCCCTCCCTACCTCCCTCATCTCCCACTCTTCAAGTAATAAAAGGAAAAATGACGAAACAGAAGAAGAATATAGTTCATCCTTATCCCCTTGGATTATCTCCAAGATTCCTTCCGCCATCTTTAAAAAGAACCTCCCCAAGAAAAATCCCACAAAACATTCACCTCTTATACTCATCCACTCAATCAAATACCAAAACCCCATCCCTGTTTCCCATCTAGTTTTTTCTTCCTTTGAGGTATCAGGTATTAAAGTTTACGCATTTTCTTCTTACTCCAGACTCCCTTTTTCTCATACACATCATCATCATCATCATCATCATCATCATCATCATCATAACAAATCGCCACGCATAAATTAACTATCTACTCCACCACTACCACTCCCCAGAGTATCTGCTCAATCTGCAACAACTCAATGCTTTAATAAGCACATCATTCGAAGCAACAAACATCAAGCATCAAGTATCAAGTATCTAAAAGAAGTTCGAAACTCAAGAATTTCAATCAAATCCATCCGTGGTACTTCTAAAGTTAAAAGTATTAAGTATCCACATCAAGTTCTGAATCCATCCGAAGAATCATTACCACAAGTATATGCTTTGAATCCTAGCTATGCCATAAACCCACCACCCCGTTCGTACAATCCATTTTTCAATCGCAAAATTCTCAACCATCCATTCTGATATAACACTGATCCTTCATTCGCAATTTACTTTTTTTAGAACTCGCATCCCACACTCATTTACCACAACCATAAACATGAAAAATGCAAATTCCCGAACCATTGGACCATGTGTCGTTTTGTTGCAATGTAGAATGTCAGGGAAACGAGAAACGTCCGCGTCGAAATTAAAATCGAAAATATTATCTCAAGCATATACTCGGTACTCGTGCACAATCAGTCGCTCGTAAAAAGTGTTGTGTGACGAGAAGAAAAAACGAAAATGAAGTTTAACCTTCAATCTCTCCATCTTGCCATCCGCAAATAATCATCAACATAGTAAATCAAAGGAAAAAATCCAGTCAGGTCCAAGAGGCGATAGACTTTACTGACAGTAACAACCTACTCTTGGATTCGACCGATTTAAACCATATCTTTGGAATTCTTCTCATGTCGAAGGTGAGGGAGTTCCATATCATCCCTAGTGGGATTAAATGGACGACGTGTGTCTGTTGAACTGCTATGACCACCACGATAATGCTTATCTTCATCGAGAAGAATGGCTTGAGGCATAATGTCCGCATAGTTAAGATCAGTATCAACAATATCATCATCAATTGATGTAGCTTCTTTGATATTCAAGAAGATGACAGGTGCTGCGATAACAAGAGATCCAGCAAGAAGACTCCATGTAATGGCGAATTGAGTAAGGTATGGATACTCCATTGCATCGATACGCCAAGCAATGGCGGCGCCAGCAGACTGAATACCCTTATAGAAGCCAGCAAAGTTTGCTGTCTTTCTACCGGAATTGGAAAGTGCACCCATGAACCTGTGAAGTATCAGTTTTGATCAACAATTTTGAGACAATAATGCATACCAGTAAACAGACAATTGCCAGACAGCATCATAGAATCCATAGGCAATATATAAACCCAATCCTTCGGCATAACCTTCACTTGTCCAATCCATCTTGCCTTCATAATCAAGTTTACCGGTAACATCACGATCTGGAACACTAGATTGAAAACCATAACCTGAACCCCAAATAGCGGCAGTCAGGATGATTAACACAATCAAGCCAGCTCTAGCTCTAGTGGTTCTCTTGAATCTTTGAATGTCCAAGGCGTAGCCAGATGAGAAAGCACCAATAATTTGTGCGAACCAATATAAAATATTGTTAAGGGCTCGAGTTCGTGTGTTGAAGTGCGCACCGTTGACACCATTGAATTGATATGTGTAAAACCAATTGGAGGCAAAAAACATTGGAAACAAGAGGAAGACATAGACGTTATTCCTAAGTGTGTACCAAAGTCCCCAAATCTCTGTGTTCCATGTCGGATTCTTCATAAGAATGACATGAGATCCATCGGCACGTCGAACTTTATGCGCATCGCATAGGCACAACGCGCTAAGTGCTCCAATGAACATGAGAATGATGAAACCAATGTATGTACCGTCGCTCACAACACGATTTGCAGTGTCGCCGATGTTTAAGGCAAGGGGGATCTAAAGTAAATTTTTAGCATGCGATTCATAGAAAAACTGCGCGATTGAACTTGCCAAAGCACCAAAAACACCTCCAAGATTGAAGATTGACCAGAACCATGAGATATACTTTCCTTTTGATTCCTCCGGTGGATAAGACATCATAATGGCACCTTGAGCTGTCCAAAGAAGACCAGCACAGACACCAAGCAATGCGCCTGCGAAGATTACATAGCCAGTATTTTGAGTGTGACTATAGCATAGATAGCTTGAAGCATAGACGCAATAGCCCAATCCACCCAAGCTCAAAGTCAGTCTAATTCCGAGACGATTTGCGAAAGTGCCTGCAAAGAAACCGACGACCGAGAAGGTAGAATAGAGAGCTGAGTTTGCATTATCTGCCGGCTTTGCAGAGATTTG